GTTATATTCTTGGATGTTAATAATGCCCATTTTCCAATTTTAATTCTAATAACAACGAAAACCCCAAGAAAACAAACAAAAACTTTAAATTCTAAACGAAAGTCTTCTTTCAACTTTTTCAAGGTTAACAACAATAACTACAACTACATGAGCTTGATAACTACAGTTTGTAATCTTTACAGAGGCGGACAAATACAACCAAGTAACACATTGCTCATAAAGGTGTTTCATTTGAAGAATATTGTCAAAATAATAGAAGCAAATATGCTACTTGATGTGACAGAACTTTCAATATTGTGAGGGAGAGGACAGAATAGCATATCTCTATAATTTCTGTCTTGCTTTAATTGAAAGAAATGCCAAATTATTTCAATAAAATCTAATTATATTAAAATTGAAAAAGTTAAAATTAAAGATTATTTATTTAAAATAATCGAATTTGAGTAATTGTTGGGCAGTTGGACGAGTTTCTCGATTCTTATCCAACATTTGTAAAATTAATTGAATTAGTTCATTGGAGTAGGAAATTGAACAGTTTCTCATTTGTTTAGTGAGGATGGTTTGAGCATTTGATGATTGATTTCCCATTAATAAATTACTGATTGAAGTTGTTTCGTCTTTGGTCATGATTTGATAAATTGAAACTCCCAAAGAAAAGATATCCGTGTTGAAAGAGTATGAGCTTCCCAGGGCGATTTCAGGACTAAAAATTCATGTGAATTTAATGAGAATTGATAATACTTACCTCATGAAGAGAGGAGTTCCAACATATGATTGACCTTTCATTTCTTGATGCTTTTTTGCCAATCCAAAATCTGCAATTACTATTTCGATATTATCATTCTTCAAATATTTGACAAAAATGTTGGATGGTTTGATATCTCTATAATATTATTTAGTTTAACCGATATTTCTTTTGAAACGTACCTATGAATAATTGATAGTTGAGAATGAATATAATTCAAACCTTCGCATGATTGTTTCAGTATTTGCTTAATAATATTTTCAGAACATTCTCTTTTCAAAAATTGATTCAAATCACCACTTTCATAATAATCCATGTCAATACACAGTAAACTATCTTGGGTTATGAAATAATCATTGACTTTCAAAATGTTTGGATGTTTGATGTGGCTTAATTGGGAGGCTTCTTTCATTATTGTATTTAAATCAGAGAATGATTCAAACTTGATTACCTTAACTGCCTTGATTCGATTTCCTGCTTTTGAATCATTAGCTTTATAGACACTTCCAAATGCACCTTGTCCAATCCTTTCTATATTAGTATATCTTGAAAAGTAATCTTCAGAATTAGAAGCAGCTGATCCGGCTGAAGAGGTAATAATTGTTGATCCAGTTGGGAAATCAGACAACTCAATATTTGAAGTGTTGATACTTGCAATATCTTTTCCTTTGTTCTTTTTTTTCTTGGAAAGACAAACAATTATTACAATTACCACAATAACAATAATCACCAAAATTAGAAAACTTGCAACTATTGGGATAGTAATTGAAACAATTAAAACAGTGGAGGTATCTATGGAATTTGTTGGAACTACTTGCTCACAATATTGGCCTTTGAATCCTCCTTTACAAGAGCAAATATTGAAATCTGAGCAGTAACCATTTCCATTACATACTGATAAATCTGATGCAAGTGTTCCATTACAAGAGAGGGACTCACATTTAGATCCATAATATCCTTTCAAGCATTCACAGCTTTGGTTTTGAGAGTTGAATATTGCATTTCCCACACATGAAACACTCAATTTTCGTATTGTGGTTTTAGTCATTGTAATGAACTGACTAAGTACTAAATCACTATCAATGAAATAAACCTCTTCTGTGTTTTCATTATAGCCAATAGATGGCGAGAAACCCATAAATTTAGTGTCTTTCCCAGAAAGATTGCCTGAGTAAACGTTAATATTTTCGTTAGCACTTCCTGCTAGTGTTGTCAACAGTCCAGTTGTTCTAGTGTATTTTCGTATTATGTACGAACCATCCAAAATAATAATATCTCCATTCTTTTTAACATAAAAGGATATTGGAGATGATAGTGAAGATTCTAAGGCTGGTAGATTATTTCCTGAATAACCAGTCTTACCATTTCCAATAATTGTTCTCAGATAATAAGTTCCATTTGCCATCTTTTCAATTACCCTTAATAGTGTACTTGTGCAATAATAGATGGAATCCTCATTAGAGGAGTAAGAGAAGAGAATAGTACCAAAATTGGTAAAATTGGTAACTGGACCATCTGGAGAGTATGAAGAAGTTACATTGGAGGCAAATCGAGTCACAATCATTCCTGTCCTTTTTTCAAGTTTACGAAAACTTGTACTGTCCGAAAGGTAGATATCTCCATTTTCTGGATTGACAGACAATCCTTTGATTGCAATGTTTCTAAATCGTGTGTCCAAAGCTGGACCATCTGTAACTGCACCACAACCATTTCCTGCAATTTTGGTTACATTCATAGTATCCAAAAAAACTTGTACAATATGGCACACATCTACAATGAATAATGAATTATCAAAGGAAGAGTGAGCCATTGTTAATATAGATTCCGAAACTAAGAAAAAGAATGGAATTTGGCCCATTGTAGGACTCGTACCCTTTACACTCTCCGTTTGGGAAATAATTTCACCAGATGTTTCATTAAACTTCTTCAAAGAAAATCTATCCAAATAATATATTACATTATTGGCCTCATCTCTTGCAAATGCAGATGTAATTTTACCAACTTTTCTGGAGGGGTTGATGCCAACAATTGTTTGTGTGGTAGCATTTGAGATTGTAATGTAGGATGCAAAGGCACTGTTGTAAATTGCTCCATTGATTACTTTTATACTGCCTGATTGTCTGCAACAATATTTTAGTAAATTAATTGTTACACAACTTACAATAAAGACTTTGATAAACTAACATTCTCTCCACTGTATCCACTGAAGTGCAGAATATATTTCCTGAATTGTTATACGAATCTGCTCCTCCAATTTTTATGAGCTGGGAATCATTCAATCTCATTTCATAAACTTTGGCTTGAAGCATTAAATATATTTTGTCGTTGTCACATGAAAAACTTTGAAATGAATTATCAGATGAATAAACTGTTTCATAAACTGAGAGTTCCGCCAAATTAATCTTCATTATTTTAGAATAAGAAACTAAGAAATAAACACTATAGTTTCCATTTTGGTTTACAATACATGAAGAAGTAATTGGGGGAATATTGTAAATTTGTGATTGTTCTCCATTTCTGTATATAGTTATGAAATTTGGAGAGGAAAAAAGCAAGGTACCATTTGATAAAGAATTCCCTATTCCACTAATTGAAGTGATACCGGTTGGGATGTTCAATGAAGAAAGTTGCTCTGTATAAATATTAAATAAGAATACATCTGTGGAAGTGACAATTACCATATCTCCATTTGGGAATATATAAGTGTTGGTTACTATACCAATATACTTCCTCTTCGGTGAGTTTTCTATTTGTAATTTGGAATAACTCCCCAAAACAGTTTTGACCAATCCATTAGAAACCTTTCTGACAATACTACTGGTTTCTATGAAAAATAGTTCATTCTTGAACGAAAACGGGTAAGAAAGTGAAGATGTTGGACTTGTTTCGAATTGTTGAATATTTTCTCCATATGGATGATTGATGACTCCTCCAGAAAATGTGGAAACCACCTTGGTTCTTGTATCAATTTTTCTAATACAGTTATTTGTCTGGTCAACTAGGTAAACTATAGAATTTTTCAAAACCAAAGAGGAGGGGTTATAAAATAGAACTTTCGAGTAAGAATCAATCAGATCATCTCCTTCATATCCATAGAGGTCTTGCTGTCCAATGAAAGTTGATTGTACTGCTGATCCAACAGATTTCATTTGAACAAAATGCGAAGAAGGTGAAGTTGTCCAAATTTCATTTGATGATGTTACAAATATTCCATATCTTGATAATTAATGGAGTGAATAAACTGTTTAAAATCTTCACTTACAAATTTGATTGAGGACTCAAACCGTCAACAACTCTGTACTTTCCATTGCTATCAATACGTTTCACCCTTTCCTCATCTGTGAAATAAACCGTATCCTCTTTGCCATTGGAAACAACGTGAATATTCTTTGGAGATTTCATAATGACTGAATTGGCATCCACATTATCATAACTTCCATCCAAATATGCTTTTTCACCGCCAATAGTCGAAAGTACCCTTGTTGAAATGTCATACTTTTTGATGAGGTTGTTTTGTGTATCTGCAATGTAAAGAATATTATTCGAAGAAACAACAATTCCCAATGGTTTGTTAAATGTAGCAGAGATGGAAGAAACTAGTCCTGTTGAAGCAGAAACTATTCTAATCTTATTGTTTTGAGTATCAGCTATATACAAATCACCGTTTGGAGAAACACTAAGAGATGAAGGAGTATTAAATAGAGTTTCTTTTGCATGATATCCATCACTGAAACCAGCTGTTCCCAATCCTCCAAAAACTACCATGCTCTCATTCTTGAACCCGTATCCAAATTTCGTCTCGCCAAAGTGTTAATGGTTTAACAAAATAAAACACATTTGGTTATGTTGTGTTTAAAAGTGTGTTAGAAGAAGTAAAATTAAATTCCTTTTGTTTTGTCCTTCCGAAACAAAGATTGTTTATTACATAATAAATTGATTGTTTTGATTTTCGAAATGATGAAAGTATTGTTTAACAATAGTAATTTAGATCGAACCAAACAAAAGGATCTTTATTTAGTCTCCACTATAAATTATTCCGAAAAGACCAAACAAAGCCAATACTGTTACTGTGAAAACAAGAGGGCACCATTATAAATATTTATCACGGTTGCTTCATACATCACCACAGCCACCATTATAAATATTCATCACAGTTGCCACCATTATAAATATTTATCATGGTTGCTTTAAATTACAGTGCCCACCAATATAAATATTCATCACAGAACCCACCAATCATTATTACCACAAACCATTAAAAACAAATGCCACCAAAAATACAACCTCCTACATGGTCGGAGAATGATAGAACAAACATAAAACAAATGTTTGATGCTTTTAAAAACAAATCTATCCCTGAAAATGTTGATTTAATGAATTATGGTAGATATATTGCAAATAACTATTTAAATAGTAAAATTGTATTAGGAAATTTAAATACAAACAAAAGTAACACGTGGAAAGAATGGGAAAAAAAAGGTTATTTAAATGATTTAGAATACTTCTATAATAATTTACAAGTGAAATACTATTTAACAAATATTAAACTATCACCTACTAATAATCCGATTGTTGGAAATAATTATTTGATCGGAAAGGAAGTACAAGTAGATCCTAAAAAGTTATTATTTAAATCTACAACAACCAAAACTATTAGATTAGGAAAAGGTATTTTAAGTACAATTAATGAAAATAATTATTCTATGAAAGATATTATTTATAGTACTAAATATAAAGAATGTTTTAATGAAACAAATAGTTCATTAGATATTCCTAAACATTTGCTTTTTGAAATACCAATTGATTCTAACAAATCTACTCCAATATCAAAATGTCAAACTAAAACAGATTTAAATTTACAATCAATCAAACAATCATTCCCTCCATTATCAAGCGAAGTTGAAGAAAGTAATGTTTTTGATAATAAGGAATTAAAAATTAAAGAATTATTAATAGATTCAACTAATGATGATGATGATAATTTGTTCGATATGGATTTAGTTTCAGAAATCTTGAAAAACAAAACAAAACCTCCATCAACTCCACCATCAACAAAACTACCCACAACTTCTCCACCAACAACTCCACTAACAATTACTCCAACAATACCACCAACTCCACTAACAATTACTCCAACATTAGATTCTCTATTACAAATTGCCACACCAGTAATTTTAAAAGGAGAAGAAAAAAAAAGAAAATTCGATGATTATGAAAATGATGAACAAAATGAAAAGGTTTTAAAAAGATATATAAAATCATTAGAAGAAAAAATTAATAAGTTAGAAAAGAAAATAGAAAAAAAATCCAAAATTATTGAAAATCTTATGGAAAATCAAAACAATTCCAAGAAAGTATCAGAAATTGAATATATTATACAACAAACTAAACCTATTGCCGAAAATATTATTAATAATTCTAAAATAGTACAAAATTTTATTGGTGATGTTAATGAATTATTAAGTCAAACACATAATTGTAAACCTGTTATTATAATGGAAAAGAAAAACAAAATTATTTTATCAGATGAGGAGAAAAATAATTACTTAAAAATGATTACTTATCATAATGATAAATCAGTAACGTTTAATTTGGATAGTATATTAGGTAAACAAATAAGAATTTCTGAAAGCCAATATCAACAATTATTAAATAGAGGAAATTTAAAATCTGGATTTACAAAAAACTTATTTTTGGAATTTTTTAAATTAAAATCTTCAGATTTAACAGAAGAACAAATTGAAAAGGTTTTTAGATTCTTGGCTATAATTAAACCAATAACTTTTGATAAAAAAAGATTTAAAAAAGATAGGAAAAATTTGGAAAAGAAAAAAACAAAAAACGATGATGATGATTTTGAAGAAAATGAAATAACAAAAGATATTAATAATTCTGATAATGAAAAATTTGAAATATCAGATAATAATGTTAATCAATATGATCTTACAAATAATTTAGAATGTATGTATTAATAATTTAATGTTAAATTTTTTAGTTTTATTTATAAATAGAGAAAGAAATATGATTATGAATAATGAATGGTTAAACGGAGATATAATGGATAAATATTTACATATTTTACAATTACAATTCCCTTTTCTTCATTTAACAAAATGTTCTCAAAGTATTTATTTTTTGGATACTGTTTTACGTATTATTAAAAGTGCAGAAAAAATAATAGATTATTCAAAACTTAATTTTGTTACACTCAATATACCAGGTACACATTGGTTGTTATTATGTATTAGTAAGATTAAATCAATTGTTTATATGGACATTATTGATTCTAAAATTGATTTATTATGTGACAATCTTAAAAAAATGTTAATTAAATCATTCACACAAAACTTTTTACCAGAAAATTGTGAATTAGTTTTAAGAAATATCAAATGTAAACAACAATCAAATGGATTTGATTGTGGATTATATGTGTTATCATTTATCCGTCAAATAGGTCAATCAAATATTGAAAATTTTAATCTTAGTAATATCAATTTTGAAAATACATTGATTATAACAAGAAACGAAATGGCTGAACAGATTAAACCAAATGGTAATTAAATAAAGCTTCATTATTTTATGTTTTTATTAAATAATCAATTAACAAAAGTAATTTAGAAGAACTAAACAAAACCTATTTATAGCCACCATTATAAATATTCATCACAGTTGTTAATTACAGTATATACGGTTAACGCTTACAACGACAACTTCAAGGGCACCATTTATTAATATTTGGCGCCAATATTAATTAAAAAAAACAACCATACAACACACTTGGCTTATAATTGGAGGTGATATGTTGTATTAATATTCTTACAACTTTTAATACAACCAATAAGTTATTATTATATTATAATTTAATATTTGTTTTAGTATTAATGGTAGTTAGATTATTAAAATTAGAAGAATAATAAAGAATAAATAGATTAAATATTCCCGATTTAGTCATTCGTGTAAGACATGAATTGATTTGTAATATATAAAACTAATCTCTCTCTTTACTTCTTGTAAGTAATTTATATTGGAATTTAAATTCAATTATTGTAGTTAATTGTGTGGAAATGGAAGAAATGTGAGGAAATTTAGTATGAATATTGATGATCTTATCTTTTTGAAGATGATGGAAATAATGATGATAGTAATTAAGAAAATATTTTAAATGATATAGTAGTGATGAAGATAACGATGGAAATAATAATGAAGTTGGAATAATATATCACATGTTTCCCTCTGCGGAATACTTTTTACCATTCAGAACTTTATATCTGCTTAATCCAATTATGAAATTTTCTTAATCTAAACATTAATAAACATTCTTCTCGAGTTTAACAAAATTGACTTTGTGCATCAAAATCATCTATGTTTCGTTGGTCCAAACTATCTTTATATTTTAGACAAAACCATATTGGTTTGGTTAGTCAAAACTATTTTGGTTTGATTGGTCCAAACAATCTTCGTTTAGTTAGTAAAAACCATGTTGGTTTGGTTAGTCGGACCGGTGTTGGTTTTGTTGGTCCAAACAATATTTGTTTTGTCAAACAAAACAAACTCGGCTTCACAAATGGCAAACCAAATTTATTTATTTTAAATTGGTCCATCCGTTTTTTGTTTTGTGCGGAGCGATTTCCTCATTTTAGATCGACAAAATAAAGGACCGTCCTGACACTAGGGAATATTCTGAATATCAGATGTCTTTCACAATCAGATACGTACATGTCCTCTTCCATGCCAAAACAAATACCGCATGGGGTTTTGAGATAGGCATACTTGGCATCAAACATAGTCAGCATGTCATGACCGCTGGCAGTGTTTCCAATCAATGTTTGCACTTTATAATCGAGTGCATGTACGAACAATGATGGAGATGTATCTTGTAGGAGTAACATGCTGCTGACACATGTCAACAACAGCAAACAATGGATTGTTACAAAGGGCGTGGACATGGTTTCTTTTTTTTTGAAAGTAACAATTACACGTTAGCCCAACAATTACAAAATTGGACCTTTACACCATCCAATATACATGGTAGTATCGGAAGAAACGCAAATTCCCCAACACAGAATTCTCCCTAGTTTTACTCAGCTGGAGTTGGGTTTAAAAGAATTCTGTTGGTTTTCTCGTGGTGTTCTAAATCATCGGTGATACATTGCTGCTTAGTAGGAAGTACTTCCACTCGAACAAACTTTTGGATTTGTCGCGGTTACACTGATGGATGCGCGTTGCTATTTTTTTAAAAAGCGTGTTTTGGCGCCTTTTTTGTGAATAACAGAACCACAACAAGAGAAGTAAGAAAACTTTATGTTGGTATTTTAGGTTTAGTCTCATTTCGAAAGTGCTTGAATTCTCTGGAGTATTTGTGAAGGACTAATTCTACTGGCAGGATCATATCGTATCATTTCCCACAATAAATCACAACAGAGTTCAAATACCTCCCCTTGGTACTTCACTTTCTTACTAAATTGAACAATGGCAGGGAGAAGAACTTTCGTATCGGCCTCATCATTTCCTTGCTTGACTCTCAGCAATACAGATGCATAATCTCCTGAAAGCAGTTGATAAACTATGCATCCTAAACTCCAAATATCACTTGGTGGTCCGAATTCTCCCTTAATAATTGCTTCTGGAGCACTGTATTGTAATGTACCTTCGTAGGCAGTGAGATTGGAACGATGTTGATGTCTTGATGATCCCCAATCACCGACACACAATAAAAAATCATTATTCCATTCCAAGATGGATTTTGATGAAGATTGAGGGTTTTCTGGAGCTTTTGCAATGAAAATATTGGTTTGTTTCAAATCTCTGTGGACCATTCCTTTTGAATGGAGATAGTCGAGAGCAGATGCTATTTGCTTGATAATTTCCAAAACTAATTCTATTGGAATTTGATTTTGATGGGTGTGAATCCAATTTCTCAAATCACACTTGTACAATGGCATGATGATACAAATGAATAAACTATTCTCGACCATTGTACAACCTAAAATTGGTACTATGAAAGGATTGGATTCCTCACTCAATTCATACATATTTACAACTTCCTTAAATTCACTTCCAAATGGATTGGTAACTTCAATCTGTTTCACAGCAAATAATTCATCAGTTGTAATCTCTTTAAAAATAAATACAGATCCATAAGCTCCACTTCCTAATTTCTTAACTAGTACATATTCCTTTTCACGAATTCTGAAATGATTTCTTGATGATAAAAGGTTTGGTGAGCTCGTTGAGGCAAGAGGACTGCTGATTGATTTACTATTGCCAGGTAAATCTCTTGGATGATTTTCGACCTCATCAATGGTTTGAAGAGATACTGCTGTCTTATTGGTTGATGAATCTATTGAACTAATTGTTTCAGGTTCTGAACGATAAACAAATGATGGTAAAAGACTCTTCTTTTCTGGATCTTGGTTTTTGTTTCTTCTAAACTTTTTAAAATAGACAAATACACCAATACCTATGAGTGCTGATGAGATGCAAAGGAGAATAATACTAACAACAATTGCTGCAGCTGTTCCATTTCCAGAATCAATATCTTGACAAAATTTTCCACTATACCCATCATCGCATTGACATTTTGTTGAGTTTTGATTGGAAGCATTTTGACTGAGGACACAAAGACCATTAGATGAACACCTTTTGGTTGAGTTTTGAGATGGGTTATTTGAGGACGGATCACAATCCAACCAAGAACATGTTTCTCCAAAATAAAAAGGAAAACACGAACACTTATTGAATGAGACACAAACTCCTTGATCATTGCATCCACTAGTTCTCAATTTTCCAAAGCAGTAAGGTAATGAACAATCATTACCTCCATATTCTGAATTACATTTGCATGTGTTATTAGAAATGCATGAACCATGAGGTTGACAATTATTAACACCATCACAATTATATTGTGTGCATAGTTGACCTTCCCATCCACTATCACATTTACAAGTATTGTTGGAAATACATTTACCATTCGAGTTGCAACAGGTTGAATCATTTGCCAATTTCCCAAAACATATTGGAATGTCACAGAGATTTCCAACCCATCCCTCTTCACAATCATAAATATTTGGTCCAACACATATTCCATGTTGTGATGGAATATCACAAGAATATGATCCACATTGCTCATTTCCTTTCCATCCACTTTGACACAAACATGTGTTATTTGAGACACATGTACCGTGTGAATTACACACCAATGAATTATTAGCTATTATTCCAAAACAAACTGGAATATTACACAAATCTCCATACCATCCACTGGTACAGGAATACTGATTTGGTCCAATGCAATTCAGTCCATGTGTTGGCTTGGGAACATCACAAGAAAAATTGCTACACATTGAATTACCCCTCCATCCAGATAGACAGGCGCAACTTCCATTCACACAATCACCATGACCTGAACAAACTTGACCTTGTGAATCAATACACGAGTCAGAGTATCTCATTCTAATGGTAAAAGAATCGCTATATAGAAGAGCACCTTCTGTAGTTATGGCAACACCATTAGTTCCCTGAATGGCATCAGTTGTAACAGTTGAAATTATTCCATCAGTATTAATCTTTCTGATAGCATTATTGCCTTTACAATCGTTAATACTCTCAACTAAAACCAGAAACCTACCTGAATCTGCAATGAAAATAACTCCATTTGAGGTGACAGTCACTGCAAGAGGATAGCTTAATTGAGCACTAGTTGCTTGTTTCCCATCTCCTTGATTACCTCTTGTTCCAGTACCTGTTGTTTTCATATCATTAACATTTGAGGACTAATTTGAAATATTTTAAGCTTACCTGCAATTACTGAAATAGTTCCTTTCGATAATTTCAAGATTTGATTTCCTCCACTATTCGCAATATATAAATCCCCATTAGGAGTATAAAATAAACTTGTCGGATAATTCAACAAGTTCGAGGTAGAAAGTGTTGTAATGGTCTTATCATTATTGACCCTCCTAATAATATTCACTCTACTATCTGCAAAGTCGAAGAGGAATTGATCTGCCCACAATGATGGAGGCGCCACGACACCACTAGGTCCAGATAATGTACATGAAGTAGCTGGTAATCCATCATTACAATTTCCATTATTGGATGCATATTTTCCTGCAATTGTTGAAATTATTCCAGTATTGTCCACTAATCTAATTAAGTTATTTGCACTATCTGCAATTAAAAGGCCGAGTGAAATCTTGGCCATAGCTTTTGGCTGATTCAAAAGAGATTGGATTGCTGGAATGCCATCATTGTTATAACCAGAATTGGACAAACTACCAGCAATTACATTAGCAAAACCAGTTTTCAAATCAAGTTTTAAAACTGCTGATTGATAGGAAGTAAGGTAGACTTCACTATCACTTATGACTTGTAATTGATTCAAGTTTCGTAAAAAAGAGCTTGAAGCTGGTACATTCGGATTAAAAGTATATGGATAGAATCCACTAAAAAGGAGAGGTGTTTCCAAAGTACGAAAATTAAACTTCATTACTTGGGTTGCTGCCACATTTTGCATGGTTGACTTGAAGTAAATATGATCGTGTGAGTCCCATCCAAAAAAGTTAATTCCCACAATGTTGTTATCATACAGAACTTTCACCTTTGCCAACTGTTGAGTGGTTTGATTGAATAAAAGTAATTGACCTCCACCAGTAGAAACAACATAAGATGAATCATAACCCAAACTGATAATATGTAATGGATTTGTAATGGGTGCAAAATTGGCCCAATTATAAACTATTCCATTTGTACTGAACTGTAATAATCTATTATATCCAGAATCTACAACAATCATTCCATCTGAAGAAAGGGCAATACTTGTTGGATTTGACATTTTACAACTCAAAGGATCAGCACCATTACAATTACTTGATGATTGAGTATTCACACCTCCCATAATAACCTTACACAGAACACTATTTTCATCAAGAAATGTCATGGTTCTAATAAAATTATTCCCACTATCAACAATGTAAAATATTCCATTATATTTTGTAATCATAGTTGGAGCACGAATGGCATTATACATGGCAGGATCATAACTCAAAGAAAGAGTTCTCAAAATTCCACTTTCCATATCAACAACTCTTATATAACTAGCAAAATTATAGACATCCAATATAAATAGAGAATTTGTCGATTCATCCAAGTAAACTCCACTCGGTGATGTCAATGAAAATTCAGTAGCCAATCCACTCAATGATGGTTTATCTTGAGGCACAGAACAAATTCCATTTCCTGCCACAACCACACTCATATTTCCAATAATCCTTCTCACCACACAAAATTGAATATCCGATAAGTAAATTATTGGCAAACCACTCGAAATATCCAAAGATGATACATGAATATTACCTTGTGGTGCTACAATTGGAAAATGGTAGGAATCAATAGTAGTGCCAATACTTCCGGCAACCATAATATTAGCATTAGAATATAGACCAGCAAATTGATTCTCCAACTCCTTGGTTGAGTCAATTTCGACTGCAGAAGCTTCTGCTCGAATACTAATGTTGTGATGATCACAGTTGCAAAGTGTGATTACTGCTGTCGTCGTCGTGAGAAACCCCAAAATGATGCAAAGAAAGAGCTGCAGGAGTGATATCTTCATTTTTTTTCGGAGTTGGATTCGAATAATAATTGCCTAAACATGTCCATTAAAAGTGGTTGTGATATCTGAAATACCTCCTTCTGACAGATTATCAGGTTATGGTTACACAAATATAGAGTTGCCTTGCAGCAGTTGTACACTCAGTGAAATGTTAATTATTGAACTGAACAAGAGAGGTTAGAAATTCACAAGGGGAAAAACAACTTGGGATCTGTCATTCTACATTCTTGTGATGTTGGCAAATGAATTATATTTTTTCAATATGAAATTTGTTCAGTAAATTTTGAAGAATGATTTTCTTACCTCAATGCAACACTTCTTAAACAAAGTTTTAAGCGGCGCCGGAAAATAAGCAAAAAAAAATGTCCGAATCACTAAATACTTCTGCTACTACAAATGATGATCAATTCTATTGTCATCTTCATCATGGTGAAGAAGAACATGAACATGATGATGAAGGGGTGATTAATTTTTGTGAAATAATGTCAAATACTAAATTATCCGATATTAATGATCAAAATTGTAAACAAACAATGTGTTTATATTATTTTTTAAATAAGGATCAGGATGTTAGTGATGGTGAATTTAAAATAATGAAATTTAATAATCAATTAAATTTAACTATTGAACAAATTGTTCATCCACAAAATTTGGCATCAACTGCTATGTTTTTAATTAATATATGTGGAATTAATCATTTATATTATTTTAAATATTGTATTGCCGATGATGATGAAAATTCTCATATTGAACACGAATTTAATTCTTCTAATGAAGTTTTTATTAATGAACATTTAAAATTAGTACCATTTCCATTTAGAAAGAATGAATTTGTTACTAAATTTGATAAAAGTGGAACCTTAATGAAAACTAATCTAAATTCTATTTGGGATAGTGAAGGTTCTATCATTAGTGTTAATAATAATACACTTGAACATTCTTACCTAATGGTTAATGATCAAAGCAATATCAAATATATTGAAAATTTCAATGATGAAATAATTCATTTTGAACGAAATGGCCATCGTATATTTTTAACTAAAAGTGGTAAAATATATGGTTATGGAGAAAACTTGTATAATCAGTTAAATCTAAATGGGGGAAATGATAATTTCATTCAATTTATATCAGACATATCATTTGATTCATTGTCATTTAAAAAAGTTATACCAGGCCTTTTTAAAACTCATTTCATTACTGAAAATGGTAAATTATATGCATCAGGTGAAAATTCTGATTACAATTTAGGATGTTCAGAAGGAAAAACAAGACAGGAAATTCATAATGATATTTCAATAGATAATGGAAAGTTTCAATCAAATCCTGCACGTAAATGTGACATAATAGATGAAAAATATGAAATTGAACATGTTTACCAAATTGGAATAAACGGGCTAAGCATTTTCTTAACTAGGGAAAAGAAATTATTAGCATGTGGAAAATATTTTGATGAAAATGGTAATCAAGTTATTTCAATTGGTGATATCTATCCACTAGATGGTGAAATCGATCAATTATTCATCTGTGCAAACAAGTATTTACTTGTGATTACTAAAAATGGAAAGGTTCATGTAATTGGTAAAAGAAATATCGATCCAAAGAATTATAACAAAAAATCAACTCGTATTTTAGAAGATAGATTTATTGAAAGGGTCAAAACTCAAATTGAAACTTTAATTTCATTGGACGAAAGAATTTTTGGAAAATTAGAAATTTATCCAAATCCATTTGATATGGGTTGTGTTTTGAAATTGGAAATGTCCTTGGATTTGATAATATTTTTCAAGTCGTTGAGAAGTCAATCCCTCCAAAGCAAGACAGGCTTTTCAGATTTAACTTTCAACTTTTGTTAAATATATTATATTATTGTAATCATTCCCGCAAAAAAAGAACTTGGAACTGCAAGAACAAGTTGATTTATTTTAATAATAAAAAAAATGTCTACATTGGAGGGTGGGGAGATTCTCGTCCTCACAGAAGAGGATCAAATATCTAACAAAATTGAAATGTTTAATTCATGTCCTCTATCGGAGGTAATTTCATCAACTCCGAAAAGAAAAATTGAAAATGATTCGAATAATCATCAAATGAAATTTGTCATCATTTCAGATACTCATAGTGCTCATGATAATTTAGAATTGCCTGATGATGGAGATGTTTTGGTTCATTGTGGAGATTTTACTAATAAGGGATTGTTTGGAGAAGTGAATTCATTCTTTGAGTTTTTGAGAGACAAATGTGATGGAAAATTTAAATATATTATCGTGATTGTGGGTAGGTATTCTTGTTTCTTGTTGGATAATTGAGGATGTTTGGTTTTTTATATAGGAAATCATGAATGGAGTCCTGATTTGATAGTCAATCGACAATTTTCAAAGTATTTCAGAAATTCAAAACACAATCTCAAATCAAAGTATCATCTTTTATTGGATGATACAGTAACTATACAAGATAATTGTGGAAATGATATCAAAATTCATGGAACTCGATTTAGATCTAAATGGAAATTTCCTCCATTCATGAGAGATTCATTGAGAAAGAAGGATTTTGATATTCCAAAAGATATTGACATTTTACTGTCACATTTTCCATCTGATAAGGGGAAATTGGATTCATCAAGAAGAGCTTCTACTGAGCTGACCGAATTGATCAACAGCAGCCACTTTACAAAATTAAAGATCCACTGTTTTGGGCACGTTCATGCATCTAGGGGACATTATTATGAAAGTGAAACTGATAGATTATTTGTGAATGCAGCATCTATCAAGGGAGATAAGAAAAAGAAGGTTGTCAACAAACCATTTGCTTTCTACTTTTAAATTTTACTCGAATCTTTGAGAAATGAAATCAATACTGAAACCTAATGTAAATATTGGAAGATTCAATACACCCGAATAGCTTCACCCTTTTTTGCGTCACCGAGTAAAAATTTACTCATTGAAATGTTTAAATGATTGTAACTTGTGCGTACGATTATAAAAGAGTTTCTTTTGTATACTGTTTATATTCTCTTATTGAAATCATATCATTGGGATTGTTGCTCAAACTGTATTTAAATTTGATTGTTTTTTTGTTTTTGATAATATTAATTAAAGCTGCTTTTATTGGAAGAGTTGAAGAAAATCCTTGTCCATGTCCTCCAAACGATTCATTATCACTTTGTGCTGGATCTTGTTTCTTTAGATTGAAAGTTGTGCAGTATCTTCAGTATCCTCATCAGTATCTCCATCAGTATCTTCATCAGCATCATAACCATCCTTGATGAATTTAAAGTGTGAAGCTTGACAGATGTCAATTGTTGTATGAATAGCTTTCTCCTTCTTGGTTCTTCAACTGACATATCCAATTTTCTCTTTCTTTCATGGGATGATTGTTTCTTCTTTTTGGTGTCAATGGGTAAGGGTCGTTCATTTTCCCAATATTTAACAGGTTTACCAATCATTCTTCTCAATCTATTTTCTGTACAATTACTAGTTTGAATACCAAAATGGTCATCCCCATCAATCTCTTCATTTTGACTGGAAATTGTTATATTGAGATCGCTTTCCTCACCTTCACTCCTCATCTCAAAATCTAGATCTAGTCCATGCACGAAATCTATATCATCCAATACGGCATCCTTTAACAATTCTTCTCTTGGTACATACTGTCCAACCAATATAAAACCACCAACTTCTTCTTGATCTTCTTCATCTCCATCACTAATTTCTATGGCATCATCACATTGAGCAGTGCTTTCTTGTTTAGAAATGTTGCTGGCTTGAAGTTGCTTTCTTCTGGTAAGCATGCTTACCGAACTCTTGTTGTTTTTTTGAAGGAAATTAATAATAGATTTTAGGTTTTTCTGCACGTTGTGTCATTCTACACGTATTGTAAAGCAGAGAGGCTGAAAAGGGAGGTGTTTACTGTACAACAAATATATGATCATCGCTATTTTGTTTCCTTAAGTATTATTATAAATTAAATACATGATGAAGATGGCATAAATTTGTTCCATAGTGTTTTGGAATGAAGCTTAAGATGTTGTTGTTCGATTTGAATTATTCAAAGTAGGTTCTACCGTACGGCCATGGTCATTAAAAATCTTGCTCGTGTTGCTGAATAGGAGCAAGAAACGACTTTTCTTGTTTTTTTTGATATTTTTTTTAATTTGTTTTTAATATTAATATTTGGGCCAACTTTTTGTGTAACGGTTTTTTTTGAGATAATAAATTTATTGCTCTGTTTCTTCCTTTTCCTCACTTGATTCAGTTCCAACCTCCTCATAGTCCTTCTCCAGAGCTGCCAAATCCTCCCTAGCCTCAGCAAACTCTCCCTCCTCCATTCCCTCCCCAACATACCAATGGACGAAAGCTCTCTTTGCATACATTAAATCAAACTTGTGATCAATTCTCGAAAAGACCTCAGCAATGGCAGTCGAATTTGAAATCATGCACACAGCCCTCATCACCTTTGCCAAATCTCCACCTGGCACAACACTTGGTGCCTGATAATTAATTCCACATTTGAAACCTGTTGGCGACCAATCAACAAATTGCACCGTTCTCTTATGCTTGATTGTTTGTACGGCAGAGTTGACATCTTTTGGAACGACATCTCCTCTGTACATTAAACAACATGCCATGTATTTGCCATGACGTGGATCGCATTTGGCCATCATTGAGGCAGGTTCAAAAACTGCATTTGTGATTTCACTCACACTGAGACGTTCGTGATAGGCCTTTTCGGCTGAGATTATTGGAGAATAGGATGAGAGCATAAAGTGGATTCTTGGATAGGGAACTAGATTAGTTTGGAATTCAGAAATGTCAACGTTGAGGGCACCATCGAATCTGAGAGAAGAAGTGAGGGAGGATATGACCTGAGCGATTATTCTGTTGAGATTCGTATAGGTTGGTTTTGGAATGTCGAGACATCGACGACAAATGTCATAAATTGCTTCGTTATCCAGAATTACAGATACGTCACTGTGTTCCAATAAGGCGTGAGTGGACAAGACTGAATTGTATGGCTCAACAACAGCGGTGGCAATCTGAGGTGATGGATAAATTGTGAAATTCAACTTGGGTTTCTTTCCATAATCAACTGACAACCTTTCCAATAACAAAGCACCTAAACCTGAACCAGTTCCACCCCCAACCGATGAGAACACCAAGAAACCTTGCAAACCAGTGCAATTATCAGCTAACTTTCTAATTCTATCCAAACATAGGTCAACAATTTCCTTGCCAATCGTATAATGACCTCTTGCATAATTATTGGCAGCATCTTCCTTGCCACTAATCAACTGATCAGGATGGAATAGCTGTCTATAGGTACCAGTTCTCACTTCATCCACAACTGTTGGTTCCAGATCGAGAAAAACAGCTCTTGGCACATGCTTTCCAATTCCAGTCTCTGAAAAGAAAGTATCGTTGGAATCATCATAGCCGAAACTCTTATCTGAAGGCTTCATTCCATCAGATTGAATACCATGCTCCAGACAGTACAATTCCCAACAGGCATTTCCTAACTGAACTCCTGCCTGTCCAATGTGAATTGAAATAACTTCTCTCATCTTGAATTTTTGAGTTTTTTACGTTGTTTTATTTGTTTTTGAAATAGAAATCATGCAAACAAATGAAAAATTTATCATGATGAGGAATTTAAGGGAATGCACAGAGGTGGAGTGGTAACTGTGAACTCTAAGGCATCAACACTGGTTTATTAAGGTTGGGAAAATAGTGAGGAAGAGAGAACTCTTAATCGGAAAGTAAAAACCGTCCTTAGAGAGATTTATTGATGTTACAGCTTTTGCTTTGGAATTTGGTTGATAAATATCTTCCCGCCAAATTCCATCCAATTTTTTTAAAAAAATAAAAACAAACCACAAGCCTTGCCCTCTCAAAAATTTCCAAGCGAAAAGAGAGTAAAAACAAGATAAATAGAAGACTTGTTTTTAGTGATGATAACTATCCCAAAAGAACCATAATGAATAGGGTGTGAACGTTCTGTTCATTGCCCATTCAACCACTTTGATGAATTAACCTTATGTCATAGTTACTCTGAATAATCGATGTATTGATTTTTTATTGTTGTAATAATCGGATCCGAGACAACCATTGGGAAATATTGAATTTTTCTAGATCGTGCTGATTTGATAATGTTCCTTTTAAAGACTGTTTAAAATATTACATTACGTAATTTATTAAAATATTATTAATTTAAATTTTAGAAAAAAAATGTTAGAAGCCATACTGAATTTTTTCTATTGGCTTTTGGCTTTGATCGGATTAGGCCAAGCAACACAACAACAACAAATTGTCGCTCCGGAACAACATCAAGATGAAGAAGAACATCATCATCAACAACGAAGAAATATTCCGGCAGCAAGAGGACAAATACGGAGAAGAAAGAATGCTGCTGCTTCTGCTTCATCATCAACAAATGATGATCACGAATCTGCTAGTAGTGGCAGTGATGAAAGTGATGATGATGGTTCGGATCATGATTCTGAAGCTGGGGAAGAAGATATTCATATTCATTCTAAACTTACAAGAAATGAACGTGTAAATTTGAAAAAGATGGAAAAGAGACGTCAAAAGCAAGCCTTGAAGGAACAAAGAGAGGCCATGGTTCAAGCTGAAAAGGAGAGAAAGACTCAAATGAAAAAGAAAATGGAAGATGAGGAATTGGAACGTGAAGAAAAGGAAGCTGAATTGAGAGAAGCTGAAAGAATTCAACGTGAAGAAAAGGAAAAGAAAAAACAAGAGGAATATGAAGAATGGCGTCACTTGTTTGAAGTTTCTGAACAAGGTGAAGGAATTGATTCTGATATGACTCATAATGAGAGCATTTTGAGTGAATTTATCAATTACATCAAGGATCATAAAGTGGTTGTTCTTGAAGATTTGGCAAGTGAGTTCAAGATCAAGACTGAACATTGCATTAATAGAATTAAATCTCTTGAAGAGGAGGGTAAAATAACAGGTCTCCTGGACGATCGTGGTAAATTTATTTATATTTCCAAGGAAGAAATTGAAAAGGTTAAACAATTTATTTTACAAGAAGGTAGAATTAGCATTTCAGATTTGAGAAATGAAAGTAACAAGTTAATTAATCTCAAACCAAAGGAAGAAGATGTAAATATTGAGGAAATTCTGGTGAAATAATTAAATATTAATAATTTAATGGAACTAGCCATTTGTTGTTTCCATGATATTCCTCACCATGATGAATATCATAAAATCCTCGTTGGCGTTGTTTAAAAGCTTCCTCTTCTGCTTTTCTATACGAATCCAATAATCCAATAATTTCTGGATCCTTTCTCAGTGGATTATTCCTATTCCTCACAATCAACTCTAAAATATGTGCATCTAGAGGAATTTCTGAATTAGAAACCATTCGAAGACGAATCATTTTCATCACCACTCCCTTATTCATCAATAAATCCTCAGAAATATTTGAGGCAAGCAAATTAACATTTTCAGGAAATCTTTCCAAATACTGCAAGATGAATGGAATGGAAGAGAGTAATTCTCTGGAAGATTTAGAGATGGCTCTTGGATCGTAGGAACAGGCAGCTAAAACCATTTCTGGACTGTTTCTGATATCAATGTGGAAATATTCGAAAATACCACCGATTGTTTTCAGTTTCTCCATGGCATATTCCTTGTTATTTCTCTTGGAATCTGAAAGATAATTAATGATATGATAATAATCCGAATCAATTAATTTCAATAATTTGTGTTCAAATTCTGAATCATGGGAGCAAAGGTTTCTAATAATTTTGGGTGGAAACAATTTGATATTATCCACATCATTTTCAATTGCAAACTTTGCCCATTCTTCATTATTAATGATGAAATCTGGTAATGCTCCACTAATCCCATGCTTGACCAGAAGATTCTTCATCATTTCCAAACTAATCTTATTGTGAGAACATGCATAGATAAACCAATTCTTATAATCCACAGCTGCCTTCTCAATAAACATGTTATCATTCGAAATCTCATTAACTAGCTCAATATTATCAGGATTTACAATTCTGGTCGATGTTACAAAAATCTGAAAAATTACGTCTTCATCTTCCAATAGCGGACTTTTACAATCTTTCATTCTATTGATCATATTTCCAATAACTGTTAATCCTGAACTCATGATTGAATCGTCCTTTCTTAGCTCCTTTAGGGCATTCAAGATGAATTTCTTTTTTTGTAAATATTTTGAATGACAGAATTGTAAAGTTTCGACAACATTTAAGGAAAGGCATGATTCAATGAGAGACTCATGTTGTAATTGAAATTCATCACTCACAAATTGGAGAGCATTGGCATGTACTTTCAATGCTGTTTCACTTGAGCTTTCGAATATATTAATTGGCGTTTTTGGAACAAATTCTAATAATCTTCCATCATATTTTACCGCTTCATGAGCTAGCTCTATTCTCTTTCTAACATGTTCTGGTAAATACTGATAGCCAGTACCACCACTCTTTCTAAATAAATTCAATAAGAAAGCAGACGAATAGAATGGAAACACTGAATAATCCAAATCCTTCCTAAAACAATAGACAAGTGCCTTTGGATTTTGCATCACTGCACTAGCAATTAACTGTTGGTCCTTCATATAAGAAGCTGGTAGGAATCGAATAATTAATCCATCTTGCTTGACTCCATCCAACAAAGTTGAAGCATCAATGGACGAAGGTGAAATAAACTCTAACACGTCGCCATTTCTTGAGATTATCTCTTCAATTTTGATAATATTCCTCCTCTTATATCCATAAAGAATTTCTCCCTCACTCGTAAAGTATAAAATTAATTTGGGTTGTAAAATGATAAACTCATTTCTATACGAAACTGCTTGTTTTTCATTGAGTGATTTTTTCTGAATGAGCTCTTCAATGAGATTTCTCAATGCTATAAATTGATCAGGTGATTGATCTCTGAAATTTTTACAAGCACTTTTTACAACATTTTCATTGGATTTCCATTTTTGGAGTTTGTGCAATTCACCTGGATTTTCTTCAACATATTTACACATGAGAATTTCATCTGTTTCGAATTGTGGAAACTTGCTTTGAATTTCTGAAAGCTTTTTGCCTTGTTCGATCATTTCAATAATCGCCAATCGTTGTGGATTTCCATGGTTTAGTTTTATTTCGGGAGCTTTCTTATTGTAATCTTTTTCTAAAAAGTGTTTTTGAAATAATTCTTTCCATGAAGATGCTAATGGTGATGAAGATTTCATCCCGATCGAGTAGAACCGTTTGCTTCCATTCAAACAAAGAATTGTAGCTTGATTTCCAATAAGTGATCGGAACATTTTTTTGTGAAATGAAAATTCAATCAATTTTGCAAAATTTCATAAGAAACTTTCAATCAATTTCATTAGAAGGTTACAATCTAATAGTTTTTCTATTCTATTATATTTAAATCCTTGTAAAATTGTCCAAAATTAGTCAATATAATTATTGTAAATATTATTCGAAAGTTTAAATTAAAAAAAATGGCAATTCAAAGTAACAAGAAGAGAAAACACGAACCATCATCACAGCCTTCCGATAACGATGATGAAAAAATGTCAAACGATCCAAATTTCGAATCAGTTTTATTTGATGAAATGACACAAGTCAATTGTCAATTAATTTCATTGGCCAATAAGGTGAAACAAGTCGATTATCACTATTTCTTGAATAATAGTGGTATGATTGATGAATTTATTGGAAATATTCACGAGTTTTTAAAACAGGTAGATATTCACAGAAAGCAAGTTTCGTTCACTCGGTTGAGTGCCGATAGTTTGTCTCATATTTTTCAATTCTTGGATACTACAACTCTGAAGAATCATTGTGGTTTGGTTTCTAAATTGTGGAATCAATCAGTAGAAGGATTGAAAGTGAGAGTGAGACCTCTCAATGTTGATAATTTATTGAATAGTTCATTAATTAAGAAAGTTTCCAGTTTGAAATTGGTTAATCCTACTGCTAATACCTTTAAATCAATTGCAAAGAGTAGAAATTTGGTCAATTTGCAAACATTGGATTTATCTGACCACAAGTTATCAAAAACTGCTATTGGACATGTGAAGAAATTTCAAGTGCCAAATTTAACAGAATTGAAATTGTGTAAAATGAAAAAATTTACAGAAAAAGAAGTTGCAAAGGAATTGTTTCATAGCAAGTTCATGTCAAATATTAAGAAATTGTATTTATCACATTCCTTTGAAGGTTCTTCAAAGAGTTTTATTGAATCAATTTCAGAATCCAAATACATGAATCAAATCACTCATTTGAACATTAATAATACATATATCGACAAATATAACAAGGATACTGGAATTGATAAATTCTTGAAAGATAAAATCAATTTAGAACATTTGGAAATGGAATTTTATCGATTGAGTGTTCATCCCAATTTATTGACAAGTGGAAATTATAAGAATCTCACATATCTTAACATATCTAATTGTTTTGTTTCAAATCAAGAATTTGTAGATTTGATTCTTTCTCCCAATTTACCTAAACTTACCACACTCAAGGCCAAGCGTTTAAACAATTTTTACTGGTCTAATGCACAACCGACCCAAGCAGTTGAATTTCCTCCAAATAGGCAAAGTTCACTAACTGAATTAGATTTGGGAGATTTAACACTTCCTAAACTCTTCGATCATTGTCCGAAACTAAAGAAATTAAGTTTTAGTGATTTTGATGATGATGATAACAATAAGGAAATCCTCAACATGATGAAATCTCCAAACTTATCAAATTTGGAATATTTGGATATTAACCATTGGAAGGGAATGTCAGAGAATCTGTTCACCAATCCAATCTATTCTAATTTAAAGGAATTATATTTAACACCTATTCACCAGGTTGAACCATTAGATGTGAATTTAGTATCAAATTGTACAAATTTGGTCAATTTGGCAAAATTGTGTATTAAGTCTGCACATATTTTAACCAATGATTGTTTAGAAGAATTCAATAAGAATCCAACCTTTGTCAAGTTGACAAATATTACTTTACCAACCAAGTTGGTAACTGGTTCAGATGACGATTATTTAGATGAGGATGACGATTTCTTTTAGAAAACAAACTAAACTAAATCATATATAATGCCTTCAAACTTCTATTTATCTGTGGGTGAAAACTACTATGAAAACTTATTAGAATAACATATCTTTTGGTCTGGCTAAATCATGCTCTTCTTCATCCTCTTCAAAGTTACTCGCCATAGATTCTGATCTTCTTCTTGATACTCCATTGTGTGAGACATGTAACATGCTCTCTCCTTCACATTCATTATCATCACAGAAAATATCTGCCTCCATATCAGTTGGTAAGGAGCAATCGTGTGTTGTAATGTCCTCCTCAGCAATATCTGGAGGTGTATGAGGTGTGAAAGAAATGTGTCTGTAAAGAACTGGCATTGGATTGGATTTGGAAGAATCTAATAACTCTGGTGAAAATGCATTCAACAAGTCACCACTAGTTGTAGGACTGGAGACTTGAAGTGTTTCCAAATTATCAAATAATGAGATATTTTGATAAATACCTCTCATATGTACAGTTAGATAAATGTTAAATTCGTCAACATTTGAAATGTAAGGGAATGTGCCACCCTTTTTGAGTAAGCATGATCTGATATTACTGTATGATGATGGAAATTTCTGTTGTAGCTCCGTTCTTAGAGATGATGGATAAATAGAATTTTCATCGTCCATACTTTCAATAATAGTAATACATGAATTTTGTTGTGTTGATTTGATCACTAATTTTTCCAAAATGTCTTTCGTATTGACAATTCTCTCATCACTTAATAGAGATAATCTCGATGCCAATTGTTTTTGAGAAATCTTGTCAACGTTATCGAGCATGTACTCAATAGAGTACAAAATTTCGTCATTATTCATAAATTCTCTATCCTTAAAGTGTGTAAACATATCAAACACCTTTGTACTCAATAAAAACTTGGGAGCAAGAACGTAAAAATCGTTCAGTGGAGAATATTCACTAAATATTGTAGAATTTACAAAACCATTTACAAGTATCAAACTAGAAACCTTTTCCACATATTCTGAAGCATAATTCAGAGCTAAAAAGGCTCCAAGACCACAACCACACAGATGAACACATTGTGACTTGCTCTTGGAATTACTAATTGAAATAGGCTCGCTGAACCTCAATTGAGGAGAAATACTAAAAATATGATTTGATGAAGAATTGCTGACCAAGTTCACAAATTTGTCAAACTCCGGAACAAACTCATCAATAGTAGTACAATGAGAAGGAATTTCCACACTGATGAAATGAAAATCCTTTCCCTCATCAAAAATCATTGAAAATTGATTGTAAAAATCATGAGAAGAACCACAAAAATCATGCAAAATGATGAGTGGTGGTACATTACTATCCTGATAACATTGTCTGTAGGACCAGTTCTTTCCATCAATTTTTACATTGATGACAGGACACCTTTTTTGAAAACGTTCAAAAGTATCCTTTTGTTTTTTAAACTCGATAGGATCCACCCTGACAGGTTGTTGTTGTTGTTTCGGTGGTGAACTTAACGTGCTAACCATCAATTTCCTAGCAATAGCATTCATATTTACAATATATATTAAATTAAACTATTATTAACAAATAAATTATTATTATACACTCTCTAGAGATTAAATAATACAATTGAAGAGAATCGCAACTCTATCCTCTTACTCGGTGCAGCACGAAAATCTTTGCAAATTGGAAAAAGGCTTTTAATGCTGCTGGCTTTTTTTTAAACGACTACCAATCCTTTTCTAAATCGGAGAACGGAATTGGTATTGATGATTTTAATAATCTCACCAATTCCGAAGGAGTGAATTGATTATTCTTCTCCAATCTCCAGCAAAGAAAGTATGATTGAGAGGAATTGAAAAGATGATCTAGATAACATTTGGATGACGAAAATTTGATTTTTGTTCAATGCCTAACAGTGAGAACCATTACAGAAGAAGAGAGATAAGAAAGGTTCGGTGTGGTTTTTATTAAGGAAGACAATTTGTCAATAGGTATAATTTGGAGGATTTGTAAATTTGCAACTGTTGAGAGATGATGATGAGGTTTTTTTATTATTAAGAAAAAATCTGTAAATCCCTACATGAGTCATTTCAAATTTTTGGAGGGAAAACTGTAAATAACATTTAGATAATAGTAATAATAACGGAAAAGAACTACATTCATATAGAACATCTAGGAATTTAGAGCAAATGGAATCAAGGAAATTTGAATTAAAATCTAATTATTTAGATCTTACTTCGGAATTGTTACAAGATTTATTTAATTTATACACCAATGATAATCAGATATTTACCTATGTTTTTAAACGAGAGGAATTGGAGAAGGAGAGTACTCCATTGGAGAGGAAGGTTTCATACAGAGTTACCATCTCAAACCCAACCAAACAAAATCCCATTCCGAGTATTGTATATTATATTAGAGTGATTTTCAGAGCTCCCTCATCCAAAGTATTGAAACACCTTGAAACATTACCATTCGTTCAACATGTTCAATTCTTTGTCGAGCACCGAAAGGAACCCTTTGAATTGGCCCTCAATATTGAGGAAGGTTTAATGAGCACCCCTAGAGAAACCATCAAGCAGGAATTTGATTTCATTGCCCTCATTAATCAATTCATGGGCAGAGAAATAAATCCCAAAATGTAAAACCTCTCAATTCCTTATAACAATTCCTTTGAATTCTCTTACTCACATTTCTCAATCCTTCTTCTTAATTGTTGTGTTTTCAAATTCTTATTCCCTTCAATCCAATTTTAAGCCTTCGAAAAATTAGTTTTAAAAATAATAAAATAAATCTTCCCATAATTTCATAAAAATTTTCATTCTCAACAATACAACAGCCAACAACAATACATTTGTATTCACTGATGATTCAATATCTGATCTGCTACTGAAAACCATATTTGTTGCAAACTTATATCCAACACTTTGTCTGATTAATAACGATGCTTCTCTAGATTGAGAATATCACATTCAAATAAGATTCTTTAATTTTTTGCCATTCCGATGATTGAAGATGAAGCAACAATTAATTAATTAATTTTAATTAAAAAAATGATTAAAAAGAGAACCGCAAAGAATGTGTCGTTGAGAGCAAAGGAAGATGCATCGACAATACAGCCTGCAGCCACTGCTGCTTCATCATTGAATAGTGTAGAATCATCGGATCAGAATAATCAACAAGAGGAACAAACTAATGAAAATACAACATCAGCATCAATAACAACTGGTGAACCAGAACAAATAACATCATCGGAAAGGCTGGAGGAGGATGGAGACAATATTAATGAAACACTGGAGAAGACAATTTTAAAACAAAAGCTGAGAAGTAGACCAAAAGGAATGCAAGCAAACTTAAAAACTGGTGATTTGTTCGATTTGGACAAGATTAAAAACAGTTCAGTGCAAAGAAAAAAGGAAAAGCTGAATATTCTGCAAGGAGGTACTCAAGGAGGTCTGGTTGATAGAAATAGTGGAGATTGGATTGCAATGAAATTAGCAAATATGGAAAAGGCAAAGATTATGGGTTCAACATCACAATTAGCTATGGATATGGCTTTCACAGAAGCCGAATTATCAGAGCAGGACAAGAGATTATTCGAATTTATTAAAGAACGTATGAAGGAACAAGGATATTCATACGATCAAATTGTAAATAATGATGACGAGGATGAAGGAATTGAAAAAGCAAAGAAAAAGATTTCTGTAGATATTAACGAGCTATTGGAGAAGGAAAAGAATCTCTATAAATTACCAGATGAATTAAAAGTGGAAAAGATTGATATTTCGAGTTTAACAAGACGAAAGGATAATGCCAACAAGGAAGCAAAACCTTTAACAGAGGAGGAACGACAAAAACTCTTGAGTGGTGCCATTCTAGAAGTTCCACTTTCAACAGCAGCAAAGGTGGAAAACATTAGAGAAACCAATGAGAAAGTGAAAGAATTGGAAGACAATAACAAGAGAAAATATCACCAAACTGCCTCTGATGAATATGTCTTTACACAATACAAGAAGAAGTATGCCCATAAAAGATGATTCATTTGTCTTACATTTGCAGAGATTGTTGCATTGTTTAATCCAATTTAGAATAAGATCCAGTAACATGATCTTTATTGAAAAATTTGATTTAACTATTTATAAATTAGAATTTCTTTTGTTCCCGAATTACACAAGAACAATTCTCCATTCTTATCATTAATTACAATACCGTACGGAGATGATAAACTTTCCAGTTCTGTCACTGTCTTCAATATATTGAATTGTCTATCTAATATGTATATTTTACCATTGGCATCAGTGAGATAGATCAATCTCGTCTTTTTTTCATACCACACACTGAAGCATCTATTTGGGGTGGTGTTTTCCAAGGTTTTGATCTTTTCCCATGTCGCAGAGTTTTCATTGAATTTCATAATGTGTAACTGATCTACTCCACAAACAATCATTTCCTCTTCTGGAGTGAAAACCAAATCAACCAATTGTCTATCAAGATCTATTTGAATATCATCGCGTAATTTTCCTGTCTTTGAGTCATAAACAAACATTTTCTGTGCATAATCAATTACATAAATTTCAGTTTTGAAACATTTTACACCCCAAATATGTTGAAATTTCATTTCAGCTTTCCAAATAGGTTCTCCCACTTCCTTATTCTTTATCATTTCAGTAAAATTATACTTGAACAGCTCATTAGTTGAACTAGAAATAATCAAATTCAATTGACCAGAAAATTCTCTCTCCAAATCCAAACTATAAATCCCATCATCAAAAGGAATATGTAATAATCTTTCATGAGTGATCAAATCGTAAACAATAACAGAATTCGCACCTGCAATTAAATAATTCAACTCCTGACAAATTACCAAATTATAAATACTTGAATCATCAGGTTCGGAAAGATTTTTAATTTTTGTAAAATTCTGAGAAAATTCAATGGAGACAGGTGAGCATAATTTCTTTTTGAATTTTGCTAATAAATTGGTGGGAATGTGTGGTTGTAGATCGATGAGAGTGATGACAGCTTGATCATCCATTTTTTTTTAGGTTATTAAAATTGTTCATTTTGAACTTTACAAATATTGTAAAGTCTGTGCAATGTTCTCCAAGGTCCTCATAATGCTTGGTACAAATGACTACAAATACCATGCACAATTTCCTTTTAAATAAATTGTCCAACAACAACTTGCAGCGCCTTAGTAAAAATTTGTCGCACACTTTTCACACACTTAAAAACAATTTCAAAAAAAACCCAAAATAGCTATGAAAATGCACCAAGAGATTGCCAACAAGTGGTTTGTTTCTTTTTTAACGGAATATTCATGATTTTTAACAACCGCTCTCTCTGAGAAGGGACCAAGTGTTAGCAGAGTGTGAAAATTTGCTCAATGAACGAGAATTCATCATTCATTCCACTGATGAGTGATTGAGGTGAGTTCTCTTGCTGATGCGAAGGGAACAATCATTAAAGGAAGAGGCGTGTTGTGTGATTGTAAACCTGAAGAGGTGTTGCATCTCTTCTTATCGGTCACTGATGAGGAAAGAGCAAGGTACGATAGGGCAACTAAAACTATTGCAGTTTTGGAAGAGTTTGAGAAGGATGGAAGGAAGTATAGAATTAATCAATATATTCTCAATTCTCCAGGTAGGTATTGAGTAGTTTCGTATTATTATTGAATGACTGGCCAATTGTAGCATTCTTGATTGCTGAAAGAGATTTCATTTATGTAGAGCATGTGAAAAGAGAGGGAAATGTGACAATTCTCCTTACAACGTCCATTGATGGAATGTTTCCAGAAGATAAAATTCCACAACTTGATGGAACTGTCAGAGGCACCAATTATTTCAATTATCTCAAATTGACTCAACTTGATAATGGTGATTTGGAATATATTACTCTATCACAAGGTAATCCAAATGGCTTTATTCCACTAGCCATTTCCAATGCATTTGTTTATGAGAGACCAAAATTAATGGTCACAGCAGGAGAACAGGTTTTGAAAAAGAAATGTAAACTTGAATAAATCCAAGAAAATCACCATGATATTGAGTCTATTTCATTCCAAGAATAACTCCAATAGGATTACTTATTTGCTGCTGAATATTCCATAATCAAATCAAAGGATTGTACCCAACTTGGATTTCACATCCAATGACTGACAATTTTTAAGAACTGTTTCAAAGAATTGTGCATTATCTGGAATGTGATTGCACCACTCGGGAAGCTGAGTGTAAAACTCGTAGCACTTCTCACCGTGGAAAGAATAATAAAAGGCGTGAAGATGAATTAAAAACTCTCCATCCTTTGGCTCCTCTTTTGAGAATCGTTCCCATTGCATTTGCATCATTTCTTTTGCACATTGAGTTTCGTCTTGCTCGTTTCGTTTCATAATTTCCCATTTTTCTGGCCAAGGATTTTCCCAATTTTCTCCCTTATCAACCAATTCAAATCCAACATCGTTAATAATTGGATATCCCATCACTCTTAAATGTTCTCTGATTTGATGTGTTCTGCCTGTTATTGGTATAGCAATTACAATACTCCTCGATGATGCAGGGTCGTAATAGATTCTTTTCACAAGTGTATAGGCCGTGTCTGTATTCTTTGGATCTGTGCTGTCCGAGCCGTTTTCACTCGAATCAGCTCTCCAAATAAAAGTCCAATCATTTTGCTTGTAGACCATTTTGTTTTTCACATGAATAAATCCTTCCTTATCCTTGTGGAATGATTGACCATTTAGTAAGACATGCTCTCCGCTCATATTTTCTGTTTCAGGAAATTCTCCATAAACCTGGGCCAAATAGCACTTCCTTACATTGCCCTCCTTCATAGTGTCTTGATAAGATTTGGCCAAAGCAGCATTCCAAGTATGAATAAGTACGCCACTCGTTACCTTATCCAATCTATGAATTAAAAACAATTTCCTTCCCAAGGCACTTTCCAATAAATAATGTAAACTATTCTTTACAAATCTTCCAGCTGGATGAACTGGAATTGAAGATGGTTTATCAATTACCAAAAACTCATCATCATGATACAAAACTCGAATAAACTCTCTATAGAGAACTGGCTTTTCATTCTTCCAATCTACCGTAACAATCTGATCATTTGATCTTAATTTATATTCCAACACTGAAACTGAAGTCGGTTTCTGAGTGGTGAGTGTAATAATTCCCTTCTCAATCATTTCCTTACTCACTTGTTCTGGCATTTTGAATTCGGAGGACAAAACTTCCATTGTCGTCTTTTTAAACCATCTCGTTCTAACATTGGTTCGATGATTGGTTTTATGCGGTTTAACGAATTGATAAATCCCTCCAAATAATTCAAATTCACTCCTCAAATCCAATTCAATATCATCCAAAGCCTTTCCATGAGAAAATTCATTATCATCGGATAATTTTAGAATAATTTTGTAATTAATTTTAGGCTTTTGTATTATCGGCTGATGATGTTCATCATTATTTTCTTCCTGTGTTGGTGAAGAGATGACATTTTGGTCTTGCAGCATTTTTTTTAACAATTTTTAAATTAAATATTTTTTAAATACTTTAAATTTTTTTGTAATATTTATTTACAATTTTTAAATATTATTTATCTGATTGCTGATCCACATTGACAGCATCATGTTCTCCCTCCTCATCATCACTCGTATCAATATCACTTGTTGTTTCCTGAATTTGCAATGAGAATGGTAACCAACCTCCACTCGTACTCAATATGGTGGTGTGAATTGGTGGTGGTGGATTATCCACATGTCCATCGCCGCTTCCATTCGTAACTGCTTGTTGCATATCTGTGAGTTGATTTGCAGTTTCTGTATTCGAATGTATCGATCCTCCATGAATACTTGAAGTGGTGCTCTCAGTATCACTATTGGCATCACCACCAATGGGTTGTAGGAGTTGTCTTCTACAGAATGGACAAGTGAAAGATCCAGATCTCATCCATTGACTGATGCAAGTAAGGTGGAATATGTGTCCACATTCTAATTTTCTGCAATCTTTCAATTCTTGGTGTGAAAAGTTTTCATGACAAATGGAACACAATTCCTGATGTGTTATTTCCTCGTGGATTGGTATTGGGAAATGATCTTTGAGAAGGAGTGTAATTTTCTTGTATTCTAAAAGTCTCTTTGCTTGAATTCTGAATTCATTGAAAGAGTTGTTAATAAGGGCAAAGAGGAGAACGTCAATTACAGCAAATTGCAATCCATTATTATACCAAACATGCATATAATGAGCAATTGCAATTAAGAGCAATAGAATTTCCAATACGAATTGAGTGACATAAATAGTTTCCGTATTGAAAATCAACGTCAAAAGCTTCTTTGCGAATGAAGATGGTTTTTGTTGGTTATTATTTGAATCCTTATTGATCAGATCGAAAATTTCACAAACAAAACCTCCATACTTGGCAAAAAGTCTTGCATTCTCCAATAATAGGGTGACATTCTCATAAATAAATAGTAAATAATATGAATAGTCATTATTATAAAATCCAATCACATAAACTGTTGCGAATAGAATCATTGCCAAGTCCACAAAGAATATAATCGAAAGTAAAATAATCAAATCCAAATGTTTCTCCTTTTGTGGATTCAAAACATCCTCCATCATTGCACTGGTCCTCACTCTACAAATAATATTAAACGTTTTCAAAATTCCAATAATTGACAACCAAACAATCCATATAATAATCTCATTCAAATAATTAATATTTGTAAAATGATTCAGAATATAAAACACGAATAAGGTGTTAATTGTTACATAGGGAATTAATCCATTCGAAAATGCATCCTTCTCTTTCTGAGTAATATTCCCCAAAAATCTATGCAACACATATCTGCATCCATAATAGAGAGCCAAAAAGACAGTATGCAAATGCACCAACACTCCCAACTTGTTGTGCAAAATCAAATATTCATAATAATTAAAAAACTCCTCAAATAAATAAGAAAGAAATCCCTGATCTGAATCCTTATTAGTAATTGGTGAATGTAATCTCATATTCTCTCCTCCAAACATTTGATCGCTTATTGAAGATTCCACAGATTGTTGACTTGCCAATAATTTCTGTTCGGGCACAACCACATATCGATAATATATAAAAACTGATACAGTTAATGTGATTGAAATTAATCTCCAACTCGGAGATGTCAGTGTTCTATGAAGCATCTTCTATTAATCCAATAAATTTTAATTGTTTTCTCTCCTCAAAGTGCTCCAACAGTACTACAATCCAATACAATCCAATGTACACGTATGATGCAATTTACAACTCTCTCTCGGAGTGGTATATTATCTGGGAATATATTTGGGTTTGTTTTTTTTGATTCGGAAATTAAAAAGCAAGAGCTGCAAATCCTCACCCAAGTCAAGATGAAAGAAGAGGAAGTAATAATTATACAACCCCTGTAAAGTTTGTTCGGATGGAAAATGTTTAATCACGCACAGAAAGTTTTGCAAGGAATCAAAATTTTGTCTGCGGACTTGATAGATCCGATGATGAATTACTTGCCCTCAAAAGTAAATATGTTGTTGTTGGTGATGCTGAACACGTGTTGCTTGCAGATTGAATGATTGATACACACGTGGCTGCAATGGGGATTATCAAGGTATTTTTTTAGCGGAAACTTGGGAGAAACTTTGCATTTCTTTTATAATGGCTCTATTAGTCATTTTGTCTGGTGTCGTTGATCCAACGATTATTAAGCTATTTTGAATTCATACAATGGAAGTTTGATTTCAATTTATTACAACACCATGGCTTTTAGTTTATTCTCAAGACTTTGAGTCTTTATGTTTTGATCTAATTGAGCTGATTTTTCAGTTTGAGAACGAATCTTGACGAGTTGATTTATCCAATTGTTATATTGTTGCCATTCAGATGCACTTGTTGGTGTATGTGTGCAATGCTTGGAAATGAATGGGTGTTCCAATAAATCAGAAACAGTGGCTCTTTGTTTTGGATCCTTTTGAAGGCAGAGAGCAATAAAATCACAAACATCCTTTGAGTAGCCCATGTTTGTAGAGATGGATGGTGGTTCCTTCGTCTTGATTGTATTCAATAATTCCCAGAAAACTCCAATAGCTTCATCTTGTTCATCTCTGAATGGGAATTTACCTGTGACAGATTCCAAAACAATAATACCCAAAGCCCAGATATCACTAGCAAATGAATACTTTTTTCCTTCCAATCTTTCTGGACTGTTTACAATGTTAGAATATCAATAAAGAATTTCTAAAACTTACCTCATATAGGTAACAGTTCCAACAAATGATCCACATTCTGCACCTGTATTATCAAGCTCAGCACTGACTCCAAAATCTGAAATCTTAAATTGTCCCTTAGTATTAAAAAGAATATTACCTGGCTTTAAATCTCTGTGTACCAAGTGACGTTCCTTGTGCAAGTACTTCAATCCCAAACATACTTGTTGTATAATTCTGGCCAAGAATTTCTCTTGAATTGGTCCTTGAACAGTCTTTATAATATCACTCAATGATCCTCCTTCCATGTACTCTAAAGCAATTTGAATATTTCCTTCCTGATAGAATGCACCGAAAAACCCAATCTTTTAGTTATTAATAATAAAATTGTTATTGAAATTCAGTATGGATGAAAACCTACCAGAAATTCTGATGAAGCGGTATACAGAGTTTGTAATTCGTTAATAATTGTCTTTCTCTTTTGATCATCAAAAACAGAAATGTATTTCAAAGCAAGGAACTGTCCCGATGCTTTATGAGAAACCAAATAAACATTGCCTGATGATCCCTTTCCGAGCATATGCAAAGTTTCCAAATCATTCAAAGACATATTCTTCCAACTCATATTAATTTTAAATTCTCCCTTAGTAAAACTACCCGATTGCGTAATATCGTAATCTCTTCTTGGAGCTTCACTCTCCGTATTCATATTCAACCTTAATCCTCGCATTTTTTTTCTTCTTGTAAATTAATATGTGATGAATTGTTGTACAATAACTGTAGTTTTTTAAATTCTTCAATTGGTGATGATTGTTGTTAACGTTGAAGTTAGGAGAGTTGGAAGTTCCCTCCTTTTTTATATTAAACGTATCTCTTTTTGCTATTGTATGATAATATTTGTTGTGACGATTTATTGGTAACGGATTGAACTTTTAAAGTAATGAGATTCATTGTATTGTTCATCTTAATGCCAATTGATGGTGATATTAGAAGTGAAGGTGAGGAAATACAATTGATTCTTTACTTCCTTGTTAATCAATGTTGAAGCCATAACTCAATAGTTGGTCCAAAAATAATGATTATTTGTTTTTTCCTTCTTTTATCTAATTTTCATCTTTGGAATCTCCTTATCCACACTAATAACTTCTTCTTATCAGCCCCTCATCAACAAAACCAACTTCATATCATCACATCAATTAATTTATAAATAATTAATATATAATATAAAAAAATGAGTACACCGTCATCTACTATCAGCGAATTACTTGCTCAACCTCTCGTTCTCACCGATCAGGATGTTGTTTTAGTAACAGGAGGAACCGGTCTCTTTGGTAAAGCCGTTGACCATGTTGTTAAACAAGATAATTTGCCAGGAAGTTGGGTTTCTTGGGATCAAAGGATGGTGATTTACGTGATTTGAGTGCTTGTAAAGCACTTTTTGAAAAGTACAAACCAACCTATGTTTTACATTTGGCTGCTTTTGTCGGAGGTCTTTTCAAGAATATGAATTTTAAAGTCAGTTTCTGGCTCGACAATGTGAATATGAATAATAATATTCTCTCATGTTGTTATGAATATGGAGTTAAAAAGACCATCTCATGTTTATCTACTTGTGTCTTTCCAGACAAGATTGAATATCCAATTACTGAAGATAAACTCCATGAAGGTCCACCACACTTTTCCAATAATGCCTATGCCTATGCCAAGAGAATGTTGGACATGTTGAGTGTTTGGTATAATGAACAAGCTGTTCGTGAAGGAAAGGAAAGCAGATTCTCAAGTGTTATCCCAACCAATCTCTATGGACCACACGATAATTTCAATGTTGAAAATGGTCACGTTTTGCCAGGTTTAATGCACAAGTGTTACAAGGCCCAAAAGGAAGGTTCCGATTTTATTGTTTATGGTTCTGGTAAGCCATTGAGACAATTCTTATTTTCACATGATGCTGCTCGTATGTTATTGTGGACCATGTTGAATTATCAATCACAAGAACCAATCATGTTGTGTGTGAGTGAGGAAGATGAAAAGAGTATTGGACAAGTTGCTCAAAGTATCAAGGATGCTTTCAATTTTTCTGGAAATATGATTTTCGATACATCAAAGGCTGATGGTCAATTTAAGAAGACTGCCAGTAATGCCAAGATGTTACGTTTGAATCCAACCTTTAAATACACTCCATTTGATGAAGCCATCAAGACAACTGTACAATGGTTCTTGGATAATTATGAAACTGCTAGAAAATAAAGAGTTCAGTAAATTTTGAATCATTCACAAGATAACAAGCAAGTGGCAATGAATCAGAAAATGAAAGAAGTGAAATGTTTGCGCCATCGAAACATCACATGTCATCCACTCATCAAATAAAAAAAAATCATCACCTAGGTTAAAGAAGTGATACACTTACACAACATCATCATCACAAACAACAACAATGAAGGAAAGAATAATATCAAGACTTCACTTGGAACAATTCATCCAAGACGAAGTTTTATTCTATTCGATAGTTTTATTCGAAAAACAAGTTTATTATATTTGTGTCTGTGCTCACTTCATCTATTTATTTAAAGAATCCTTCACTAATTTACCAATTCCAATTCTATTAGAACAAATTGAATGTATTGAAGTCTACACAGACCATGTATCCAAGTTTAGTATAGTAATTTCTGATAAAAATCAACTAAATCAAAAAGAAAAGACACTTCAACATTTAGTTTTAGAAGCCTCCAACAGGACACAACTCATCAAGGAATTACAAATTCACTACAAAACCAACAAGGTCCTAAAAAAGTGGCACTTTGATGGTCAATCAAATTATGACTTGAAAATTGTAAACAAAACTCTCATTCCGAAAAGCAATACTTCAAATATGGAAGTTGGAGAGGGTATTATTAATAATCCATTTCAAAGTTTAAAACTCGACCGTTCTCACATTATTAATTTACAATCAAAAATTTTGAAAAAGTTTCCACTCACAGAAAAGAAGGCACGTGTTGAAAAATTATTTAATGGATATTGGTTTATTATAAATGATAATAATCTGGTGAGAAAACCAATTCCTTCATTGGGTGAATATAAGAGTAAACCCTATTATGAAGTTGTTTATGAAAAGAAAAAAGAGGATCAAACTCTATTGGCTGATAAATTGGTTGTAAAGATTATTCCAATAAGAAATTCAAATGCTCCTAGAACAAATATTAGAACTTTTGCACAAAAGATGATTTCCAATAACATGCTATCATCATGTTCAGATTTTGACATTATTCAGGATGAAGAATTTGCAAAGGAACGTTCCATTTACAAGTTTGATAAGACCATTACAGAGGCCTATCAAATCAAATCAAAATATTATTACTTCCCTAATGTATTTTCCAATAACAGCAAGAAACAAAAGAATAATTCAGTACCTGAAAATGGATTGACCTATTTGGAAAAAATTGAATTGCTTTCATTGAGTGATCCAAATGCATCAATTATTCCACATTATAGAATCAAGCATGTCATTGTTTGTAGAAGGAGATTTATTCCTCCATATGCCACTCACTATCAAGATATTGTTTTTGAATATGACTATGCTGAACAGGATACACAAGAAAAGAATGAGATGCAAACAGAATTTTTGAATTTGTGTGCACAATCATTGAATCCTCTCCCTCAATGTTTCTTGTATGATCAATTGACTATTAGAACCAAGTTGGAGTCATTATCTTGTGATGAAGATTTTTATTATTGGGTAAATTTAAAGTTTGGATTGAAACCTGAATTATATCCTCTCAAGTGGAGTCAGGAAGTTACAGAGGAAACTCGTGTCGAGTCATTTGTTAAATCAGTTTCCAATATTATTGATATCATTGTCAATTCGGCTGAACATCAAGTTTCTGATCCATTTGCTATTGAACATGATATTGTCTATAATGTTGACAGTCCTGATACTGTAAAAACTCCATCCATTCAACATATCATTCAATGGAGAACAAAAGTTTCATTCTATTTGGGTTATTATATTGATGAGGTTGAAACTTCCAGTTTTGAAAAGATTATCAAATCACTTCTCATTCTCAAACAAAAAGGTGAAATTTCCGATAAGAAGCTTCTCCAATATAGACGTACACTCATTCTCATTTTGGATTACTTCCTTCATTTGAGAATTGTCAATAGAGAATATGATTTTGAAAAGACAATTGATGAGAAAATTGAGGAAATTGAGCAAAAAACTGATGAAATGCACTATAGCTACTTTGATATGAATCAAATGAACTTGGCTGTTCAAAATCAAATGAATGCCACATCCGCATCCGGCTCCTCAAATCCTGGTGGTTTGACTCAATTCAATGATGATGTACTCTATGATGAAACTGTGGAAAAACATGTTCAACAACTCAAGAATAACCAACTTTCCAAACAATTACAATTGATCATGTACAGACAAATGTTGATTGGTGGAAAGAATCATTTGGAAAATGGAGGAAGTGCCTCCTCAATGGCTTCCAATCACACCAGTAGAACTGTATGCAACATGAATGCAAACATCTTCCTCAAATTGATGAAGTTGAATTATTTCATTGGTGTTTTGGGCATGACCCCTCTCTCGTAAGTATTTTTAACCCGTTTGAATGTTACTAATAATTTCCAGATTTGTAAAATTACTCTCAAATGCTATCCACATTAGCTCCATGTATCATTATGAGACCATTTATGAAATTTGTTATGAAATTTCACAATGGTTGAACAAATGCAGTCAAACATCAAAGGTTTCTGCTACATCCACATCTGCTTCATCTACTAACAATGATGATACTGACTCTACATGCAGCACAGATGAAGACACTCCAGAGTCGAGAGGTGTTTTAATCCAAATTAGAGATACATTATGTTCCTACACTCCATTCCTTCACAGTTTATGTTCCTTGCTCCAATATGATGATGATGGATTATTGGCCATTGTTGCCAACATTTTGGAAAAATTGACATACTTTTCAGAGAATGTTAGAAAGTGGTTTACATCCAATGATTATTTGCAATTCCTTGTTGATCATATTGAAGCATTCAACTCTAGAACACAACCAAACTTGGCCTCTTCATTCTTGAGAATATTGAGAAATTGTTGCAATACTACTGATAAGAGATCAGTCATAACTAAGGATGGTGAAATTGTTCCACTAGTTGTTAGACACATCCTTCCAAACATACTCACATCTCTAGTGGCTGAATCTATTTCACTCTCTCAACATACAGATGAGCATGTCAAGCTTCCATTCGAGAGTCCACATCGTGAAGATTTGTTAAAATCAGCATTGGATGCATTATTAATTATTGTTCAATCATCATCAGATAATGAAATTGGAGGTGAAGATGAAGATGAGTTGATGAGTGAATTGATTGTGAATGAAACATCCATCCATACATTAATAGAATTATTGGGACATGTTGTACGTCGCATGATGAGTCAACAAAACACCAACATGCATGTGAAAATCCCATCTTATTTCACAACATTATTGAGCATTCTCCTATCCCTCTCATCACATGAGTACTTTAGAGGAGTGGCCATCTCTATAGTATTGAGCACATCAAGTGGAAGTGTGATTAGAGGTCTCTCTCGAGGAATTGCCAATAGCCACACATTAATTACTCTCCTTGTTCAAATTGTGAATATTGTCCAGCCAATGATTGGACATTCACCACTCAGCATTACTAATGGATCACATACTCCTCTAAGATTGAGAAGAGATGCCCTTACCAGCACTCCAACCACTCCACATGCATCTGGTTCTCCAACCACACCAAATAATGGTACAACAAATTCCCATACTACAACCACTCCTCTAAATGGCAACATTCAAGCAAATGAAAACATGGTACAGATTAGGTTCATCCTAACACTCGTACTCAGTACATTACTCATGCTGTCATCCAATTCAAAGGCACTTCAAGAGATGAAGGAGAACATGTTGGAATTGCTCATCAAGGAAGTGGAAGGTAAAACATCTCAACTCATTTTACCAAATGAAAGTGAAGACAACTTGACCAGTACTCCATCTACCTCTCATAACATCAAGGTCATTACATCAGTATTGAGTCATCTTCAGAACAGATTAAAGAGTGGACCAGCTGGTGGTCGTAGTCAAACCATGCCACCTTCATCTCCATCCAATACCATGAACTCATTCCTCAGAAGAAAACTCCTCTAAGCTACTACTAGTCTTCTCCGCCACCATTAACATACACATGTGTAAGGATGTGTATGTAGGAATGAATGTCTTGAATTCACACATTTATGAATGTAAATGTGCTCATGTGGATTTTTTTGGTGTGTGTGTTAAAAAATTATTTTGAATCAAGACCAGACCTGATGGTGGTGAGTTGGTGAACTAGGCAGTTTATGCGAAGGGTCACAAGTAAATAAAATCCTTATTAGTGTCAATTACGATCCGAATTCAAAGTCCTTATTTGAATTCCACATAAGGCTTGAATCCGCTTTAATAGTCCACCGATTAAGGAAAATAAATAACCATGCTTATTGCTGAATGAGCAAAATTGATTGAAGGTTGGCAAGATGCAACAATATTTGAAGGTGTGAAAGACCAAAAGAGAATGTTCATTATTGCTTTCAGGATCTACTCGTAAATTTCACAATGTTAAAGAGCTTGATGAACCCTATTTCTAGGTTGTATTGTAGTATACAATATGCCTGTATCATTCAATTGGGGCTTATAGTATTCATTACAAACAACAAAGCCTGTGGAGTCAACCAATCTGCAGAATTTGTTAAGAAATAACAATCTTGAAGATGAATGAAAATTGAAGAAATTGGATGGAAGTATTGAAAAACAAATTGTGCTCTTGCTATTTCTGCGAAAAGAAGGAATTGTCTATCCAGATTCAAATTTTGACTTTGTTTTCTCTTGTTTCTATTTCTAATTCTCTGCCCGACCTTCCTTCTCGAAAGCGCCAAGATTCCAATTGACCATTTTATGATTGAAACAAACATATGGAATGGAATGTTCCTACCCAATTAGTATCCCATCAACTCAAAATTCTCTTCCATTTCCCATCAAAACTTGTCGTTATTATGTATATTAAAGAATCATTGTCATCCTCTCTCTTTTAAAGTTTTCGGCACCACAATTTTTTTCAGATTTAAAAAAAATACGAAAAACTCAAAATTTGTTGTGGATGGAAAAATGTTCAACGATAACAATAACAATCATTTGGAGTCGTCATCGTTTGAGGCTGCTGCTGTAGAGTTTTCTCCTAGTCTAGGATTTCCACCCTCTCTGTTGTCATTACTCTCATCATCGATGAGTAATCCGATGGCTGAGGAGGATGTTTTGCAATTATTTGCCCAATCAGAGGATGTTACTTCAGAGACAACATCTTCGGAGGAAAATTTTGGACAAAGCTATGAAGAAAAACCAGAGGAAAAGGATGAGGATTTACATCCAATTGCCTGTATAAGATGTAGAAAGATGCATAAATTTTGTAGTATGTATTTTGCATCTATTAATCATCTTTAACATGTTATGATGTTAATCATCTTACTAATTCTGATATTTAATTATTAGGCCGTCACAAAACTGGTTGTGAAAGATGTAAAGCCAAAGGAATTGTTTGTGAATTTAGAGAATCAAAGAGAGTGAGAGGTTCTTCTGATAATTTGGAAGATAAAAAGAGAAAGAAACCTAATTCACCATCTGAAACAGAATCTGGACAAAGTGATGAGTCTGAACTCTTTGTTGCACCAGATGCCTCATTAACAAAATCATTTCCAAAGCACTTTTCAAAACCATTAGCTATCAATTGTTATTATTGGATGATTTGTGACATTAATGTTATTGTGGAAAAGAAGGAAATGGAAAAGTACATTCTTCACAACTTTGGAACTGATACTATCACCAAGAAGGAAATGGAAGCATTCTTCTATAGTGCCAAAGCTCTAGTGGAACAATTTGTTGGATTGTGTGATATTGCTGAAGAGTCTGCTCAAAAATCAAAGAAAAAGTTGGCTCTTCTCATTGACCAAGAACCAACTCACCTCATTGCTAGTACCTACTATAATCTGGCACTTTATGAGATTGGAACTGGAAGGAAAATATCTAGTTATTATCTTCATTGTGCCAAGTTTAGATATATGAATAAGACAGCATTGGAAGTTTCGAATATGAATGATTGTGAAATCATGTTACAAAGGTCTATTGGATTCCTTGAGCATTTGGTTATTGATGAGCAGGATGTCACTCAGATGACTAAGAGTTTCCCAGCATTATTTCAACATGCTTCTGGTCAATCTCTACCTGATTCTATTGCCCTTTCACTACAAGAGGAGGTGACACAAGAAAATTGTTTCAATTTCATCAAGTTAGGAGAAGAAATGGCAAAACTAATCATTACCTCCACCAAGAATAGAGCTTGCAAACAAAAGACTGAAAAACAAATGGTAACCTACGACAAGGCACTGAACTTTTTACAAAATATCTTCTGTTATGGAGTTCGTATCGGTATTCTTGTAAAGGCAAGATGCAATATCAACATGATTGAAGAATCGAGTCTCAAAATTACCTACCTCACTATGAATGAGTTCTTTGGAGTTGCCTCTGTATTCATGATTCCATTCTTTGCTTTGGCAGCAAGAGTTCACTTGCAAATAGTGAAATCCATAGAGGATGGTACGAGAAATAATTTTGAAATGGGTATTGGACCAGATGACAAGCCTGTTCAAATTGATTACTATGACATTTTAGCAAAGGATTACAGAGCATTGAATGTGTTGGGACGTAGATTTAAAAGAATTCAAGTTTGTAACCAAAAACTCCTCTCTACCATTGCAGAAATTCTCAACAATAGAAACAAGAATGATGCCAATGTTTCCAATCATTTACAGGAATTTTTAGACTCAACTGTGTGGAAATAATATATGAGCATTCATAGAGGAAGAGTAATTGGATCAATAATGATCAATAGTTCATAGCAAGATAGTATCATTGAACACGCACACAGTGTTATTATTATAACACACCAGACTGAGTCTTAATAAACGTACCTTAATGTGAGCTTGAAATTACGACATTCCTTTACTCGAATTGGATAGGACCTTTCCTGATATGATAAAAATTTTTATCTCTTGGACCTAGGCCTTAATAAGTACCCATAATCTATTCGCAGATTTTCTATTAACTGGGTCAGTTAGAATGCAACAATCATCAAGATGTATTTTTCTTCTCCTTAATAGGTAAATCAACGAGGAATCTTCTTCCTCAATCAGCAACCAAAATTATCAAAAACAAACAAGACACTCTTTTAACATTCAATCCAACAATCATTCCTCATAGTTTTCTAGTTTCTTTCTTATTATGAAGCGTATTAAACCGCATTAATATGTTAAATTCCAAAGCTCTAATAAGGTATTGCAAAGCTCCACTTGTTTACTTCCATACCAGTAAGGAATGAGCTAAATTGCAGACCTTAAACAACGAGCAATTGATCAACTCAATGAGTGCGTGGGCGATACCATAAATCTTCTAAATAAGCAAAAGCTGTAAAGAACCGTAGCTTCTTTCTCTTAATTCAGAATCCTGTTGCTTTACATATCAGGCTTTGACAGATTGTGATGGTTGATACCTTACATTCAACACAAACAACAAGGCACAAACAATTCATATTGTTGTGTATTATTGGTAAACATAGTATGGGCCACAACACCTATCCAGGACAATTTGAAAAAAACACCCAAGACTAATAGATAAAAGCATCATCTTCATCATTGAGGAGGAGTAATTCATTTCCCTGCTGTGCGTCATATCAAAATTCATCAAAGAAGTTTGTGCTACTCAAGTGTGAAAAGCAGTTCTTGCCCAATTGAGACTCTATCATCAAATATCTACCCCAAAATTTAAAAAGCATTCTAGAGGTATCACTAGCCTTATTCATATAATTAATAGCTTCAATTGGTCCACCATTTAAGCGATATTGGCTTGTCTCATTCCTATATGATTGTGTGCCTCTTCTCAATTACTACAACTTCAGATCACCATCAACATCATCATTCAATATAATTACAAGTCTTTACTGTAGTACAGTACACGCACACACAAGTTCTTGTTTCTATTCAAAATTTGCTTTCTCTTCCAAATCAACCCAACCTTACCAACAACAACAAGAGCAAAACTGTCTTGAGAGAAATTAATTGATAATTCCCTTGCTGAAAAAAATATCCCCTCATCCTCCTCACTCTCCCAATCCAACGAAAAAAATTGTTGGGCGCCAAAATTTGAAAGCCTTTTCATTCATATTTGACCAACAAACGGCAAGTCTACAATTTCCATATTTATAATCAAATCCATAAATGAACAGTCAGCAGATCCAAAAACCACAACCAATAAGGACCATCAACAACAACAATAACACAAACAGCTCCACCAAAGGAGGGAGCTCTTTAAAATTTGTGGTTCCAAACAACCAGAACAACACTTCAACTATTGAGAACCAGTCCACTAACAACATTTCTTCTGAAATACAGGGCTGCAGAAGTGGTGTGAATGGACATGGATGCAGAATGAACAATCCACCGTCCTCCCCTTCATCGTATGTTTCTTATGATACCAAAACACCATCATCATGTACGGTACATGTAACGTACTTGAATGCAACCTCTCCTTCATCACCCAATAACACAAATAACACATGTGTTGCAACTACAACAACAATACAGAATACGAATGCTTCTAATGGCAGCACCGAATCATCATTTAAAAGATTCCCAATTTCTCAATCTCCCTCCGTTATTGATCCTGCAGTCACCATGCAAGATCACTATTTCCATACGACAATCAAGACTGAAAATGCACAATTTAAGAATAAGTGTCCTTCTGTTTCCCCTAATAATACTACACCTTCCACTACTCCAAATTCTTATTCTAATACCTTTCAAGATTCTTCTGTAAATCCCCCAAATGACAGCAAGCCAATAGCGACCAGTCAACTATCACATCCTTACAATACCTCATACCATAATAATAGTAACCAATCCAGTCTTAACTCTCCATTTGAAACAACAACCCATGTTGAGTATCCGACCATGCAACATTTACCAACCTTGTGTTCTATTAACCCTACACAAACAACACCAATATCAAGCAATTCCCAACAAGCACAAACAACACAGTCCTCTCATCTTCACGTTAATCATCAACAACAAACACAACAAAAACAAATACCACCCAATAGTTATGCAGCACGCCTATTTTCCATGAATAACAATAATATTCATCATCATCATCAACATCATCACTCAACAACAATTAATCCGAATAATATTATTAACAATAGTCAAAGTTCTCCGAATAGTAGTAGTGGTGGTGGTCAACTAATCACTTCAATGAATAATAATTCAAATATAACCATGAATAGTCATCATCAACAACAACAACCACAAATAATGAAGAGTGATTTGGGAATGAATAATAACACATGTGGTAATTCATCGAATAATAATAGTACGACTGCTTCCATGTCATCTTTACCCACTCCCCAACCCATTCCTATAATGAATAACAACAAGGGAACAACAACAATTAATCATCAACATGATAATTCCATGTTGCCAAGTCCTATAATGATGACAACCAGTTCCTTTCCTCAGTACAATTCCATGCCGATGAATGTAGTGGCAAATAATTCTACACACCAAATAATCACAACAACTGTTAGTGCTACTACATGTGGAGAACGGCATGGTGATAACTCGCCCACAACATGTGGTCACCATGTACAATTATCATCATTATCCAATATTAATCCATCCAATTCCTCCTCTTCACTGTCATCGAGTATTTCCAGTGGCCATGTGAAAAGTAATACTACACCAAACAATATATTAGAATCCACCCCTTCCTCACATCAACAACAACAGCAGCAACATGATGGATACAGTAGCACCACAAGTAGCAGTAGCATGTCATTGAAAGCATGCTCTTCGTCGTCAATTCAACAACAAAATGATGACTTGTCAATTTCCAGCCAACAACCAGAAAGAAAAAAGAAGCGAGTCAACCCACCTCCACCAATAATGAATAGTACAACCGGTCACCATCTGCCTCCATTTATTCCCATTCAACCACATCCTTCTCTCACACCAACCCATAGAAATCCTCCATCTCCAAACATGCATTCACAGTACCAACAGTTTGCAAAGATTGTTCCTTTTGGTGGCATGTCTCAAATGCCAAATGTCGTTGGTCAACCACAACCACCTCCACATGGCATGCCAGTTCCTTTCTATCATAGCTTCACACCATTTCCAACACCGATCACACCAACAGGAATTCCTCCAAGAATGTCAAATAGTAATATCATGAATGCAACACCATCTCCAACAACTCCAGTTCCTCTTGCTTCCTCTCCACAAGGAGATGCAATTTCCTCATCGTCCAGTAATTCAGATGACAGTTCAAGTAATACTCCAACCAATAGCCAACAGCAAAGTGCATCAGCTTTTCCTACCTCTACTCCTTCTTCACACTACTCGTATGAGATTGTCATTCCAGGAGATTCATGCTCCACAATTATTAAATTGAATGTTGGGTTAACTCTTGATAAATTTCATGATATCAGAATGAAAAAGACAATATTTGAAGCTTTCATTGAAAATCAGAAAACTGTCAATGATGGAAGGTCTGGAATTTCAAATGAAACTCAAAAGATTAGTACTTGGAGGTTGAAACAAGTAGAAATTATTAAGAATATTTGCTTTTTCAGATTTAAATTGTTGGATGATGGAAAACCAGAATCTCCCACTGTTGAATTGGACAAAAATGGTTATGAAATTAATGGAAATGCTTTGGCAAAAGTTTGTGAAAGTGGTCCAAGTAGATTGGCTTTTTCACTCGATTCCTATGGTAAAAGAGTTTCCAAGAGATTACACAAAGAAAAGCTCGTCACTTGTCCATTTTTGATCACGTTGACAAATGGTACAAAAGATTTTGTAAAGTGTGTTTGTGTCCATTTGTGTATTAATAAGAGACAAAAGAAAACAGTAATCACTAGAGCAGATTTTGACACGTTACTGCGAGATAAGAGTTATATGGTTTCTCTCATTTCTATATACGCAAGTTCAACAAAGAAAAAACCACTTGACGAGGAGTCATTGTCTTCTGATGAGGATGAACAACCACTCAAAATATTAAAAAGGGATCCCTCTGGCAGTGCTCACACAGAGTTGAGACTTAAACATGGACCTGGCTATATGGTTTCAATTAATAATGTTACCTTGAGATATCCATTTGCAGGTGTTGATCCAGGACCTGTGGATAATTGGAGAGTTAGTTTAAAAGGTTCAGAGGGTGAGATTGATTGTCAAGTTTTAAGTGTTTCTACAGTTGAGTCCGAGAGCAGTTCATCATTCTCTACTGTTTCCATTTTCTTTGAGCTACCAATAATATCTACTAAGGTGTCAGTTCTGGTAGTCAAGTATAAGAATATTGAACAATCTTCAAATGCTGCATTTTACATGATTGACGATAAATAAATAGTGAGAAAAAGACAATTAAATTGATGTAATGACTTCATTTTCTGTTGTAAACGCACAACAGAAAAACTGAATTAGGAATTCTAATAGCTTAATTGTCTTTTCAAGAATTAATCAAAATCATGATCATCATCCACTGATGATCATATTTATTTAGTTTTCAGTTTTGCTTTTGGATTAAAGAAAAAACTATCAGCAGAATTTCCAACATCATACTTGACTCCTGGATCGTTTTCTAAATCTTCACATGATCTATATCTGTGAAATGAAGGACTTCTCAGTGCTTTTCGTTTCTTACTCTCAAGGGAAGGACTCTCAAAAAAGTTAATATCATTCATTACTTCATCCTCTTGACTTGTTGGAGATTTATCAAATGAGGATGAAGAAGAATGAATATTCAAATCTTGTAAACTATTATCATCAAATAAATCAGATGAATCTTCACACATTCCCAGCGTAAAATCATTGAATATTTGACTCTTTGTTGATCTTGGTGGAGGTGGCCTCATTAAAGAAAATCCATTCATAAATTCATCATCAGAATTATCACTCTCTAGGATTGTTGGACCAACAATGGTCGTAGATTTTGATGAGCTTATTGGTGTAATGTGATTAAAGTTAGCTTTGATCGTGGAAGGAAGTTTAAAACTCTTTACAGTGGAGGGACAGTTATTATTTGATTGATTGAGAGAAAGTGGCGTGGAAGGAGAAGGTGTCTCTAAAAACATTGAGGCAATACTAAAGTGTGAATCGTCAAGGTTTTCATCCAATTGTTCTTGTTGTGTTGTAACATCAAAGGCACATTCAAACAGGTTTTTGTACACTGAGGAAGAACCTCTTCTTCCAAGTTTCTTTGTTGGGTTGTGTTTTTTAGGAGCACTTGGTGGAGGTTTCTCACCCTCTTCATCAGAATCATTCATGAAAATGTTCATATTATGATCGCTCTTACGTGTTGGTGATCTATCAGCTGTGGTAACATTTCTCAATTGATTTTCCTTAGTATATAATTGAGGTGTTGAAAAATTGAAACTCTTATTAGATAGAGCACTACCTAGACGATTTGCATGATAACTGCTTCCATTGCTACTAATACTACTTAAACCAGCAGAGGAAGAGATTGATTGATTGGAGGAAGGTACAAAATTATTAATACGGGAAATATCAGGTGTGAATGGTGTGGAATACAGAGTTGGAGATACAGATTGCAAATTGGATGAAACTGGTCGAATGGGCGTTGAGCTAAATGCTAATCCATTCTGTTGTACCAATTGTGGAGGTGATGGAGTAAATATCGAGTGATGATTACTTCTTCTTCTTGAAGATTGATTCGACTTGATTACACTGCTTATTTCAGTTGGTTTTTTAAAGGAAAATTCCAAGTGTTGAAAAGCAGATGAATTACTATGACAACTCTGTTCGCTGCTTGGAGTGGAATGCCAATGTAGAGGTGGACTATGTGATGATGATTCTAAAGAGGAGGGTGGAGAGGATGTACAAGGAGATCCCATCGTAAAGTTTGAAAAGGGAGAAAATATATGTGATTCAAAGGCTTGTTGGTGATTTTGTTGGGAGGAGGGTGTTTGTGGAAGTTTATAGGGATTATGTTGTTGAATCATTATAGAGGAGGAGGATGATGTTGTGTTGTTGCTGGTACCACCAACAAATGGCGAGGATGATGTTGATGGTGGTGGTAACATTTTTTTTTATTTTAAATTTGTGAATTTAACGACTGTTTGGCGCGTTTGATTTTGGCGGGAATATTTTTCTTTGCTTAACTAATACCATTATTTATGATAATTCTTTAAACTTCTTCATCTTCCAAGAGGGATGAGGAGGATGCATTGGAATGATTGTTAGAATTGAAGAGAATCAAATCCTTGATGGCCTCCTCTTGAGAATTGTATGAATATTTGGTGGAATTATCATTTTCCAATAAGCCAACATGGAATGTGATTGCTTCCCTTACAGTTTCAATCTTCTTGAGTAGTGGTTTCATGTAGCCAATAAATACCTCCAACAGCACGGATGCAACCTCAGAATCTTGTGTTTCCAATGGTGGTACTGTTTCACTATTTGATTTCTTCTTTTCCAATAAACCTCTACACTTGAGAATGGCATTGAGAAAGTAGGATGTCTTTTCATTCTTACAAACCTCCTTAGCAATATTAACAAAGAGAATGTTGGTATTTTTCTCTTCTGAATCCTTCATGGCCATCTCAATCTTCTTGACCAAGCTCATCATGTAGTCGATTGTCCTGTTCAAGTGATAGAGAACCTTATCGTTGAATTCCTCTAATCTGGCTTTGTGATCGAGAGAATGCACGTGTGGAAGGACATCATCTAGTTTGTTATCGAAAATCATGAACCAAATTCTGCCTTCTCTCATCGATTCGGTAATTAACATTTCATTGGTCTTGTGAATGTTCAAATACCAATCAGATTTGATTTTGTACATGTACCCATTTGATAAAACCATGACATATCCTTCATGACCCTTCTCATCCTCTATTGCTTTCTTAATTCCTTTCATATCTGTTTGTGAGATGATTTCTGGATTTTCACAAGATTTGACACATTCAATTCCATACCCTTTACAAGAACTTTTCATTTCTTCGTACGGAATGAATGATCCCAAAATTGTATGTCTCAAGGCGAGCAATGAAATGAATGGCTTATTTCCGTAATTTACAACAACTCTGTGATCAGGTGAAAAATATTCGAATAGTGGTGTGTAACCTCTATTCATCCACTCGACACAAAATTTCACTAATTGGGCGTATGATCCCTTATCTTTCAATTGATCCTCCAATGAATGCATTCCAAAATCAATTACAAACGGTATGTCTCTAGTTGATTCACATTCTCTTCCATCCTTGACAGATTCAATTGCAAAGAGTGGAAGCTTGGATTCGTGTAATTTCTTTCTCTTCTCATGATATTCCCTGTTGATCTCATCTTGTTCTGAAACATCACTCGATTGCCCCTTTACAAGATTCAATTTTTCCAATTCATATACAAATTCCTCAATGGATTGAGAGTGATCATTCTGATAGTCCAACTTGGTTCTAAACCTCAATCTGAAATGTTTCTTCTCTCCAGAATCATCCTTCAAAAATTCAATGATAGGAGTGCACAAACTACCATCCAATTTTTCCAATAATGTGAAAGGTCTCTCCTTTCCAGTTTTCTTTTTCAATTCACTGATCAATTTTTCAATAATTTTAAAATTGGTTTCTTCCTTTTCATCCACATTGAAGAATTTTGGCATGGAACGACCAACAATTCTCCTACTTTCTCTATCAAAGCACAGTCCACGAATTTCTCTTCTCAACAACCTTCTTTCAATTTCCTCATAGGAATCCAAATTAATATTCAACTGTTTTGTATTCTCATCAATGAGATGAGGAATGAAGGGGAAACTATCACTTGACACCACTTTATAACTCACAAATGTAAAGTCATTATTCGATTGAATGACAAATCCCCTTGTTGTTCCGATATTTTCAATCACTTGATCCAAGGTTTCTATTCTTGGATAGATGAGTGGTTCACTGGCAGAAAAAGGAGCCTCTCTCTTCATATCAGTGTTGGTGTGGGTAATTGCAGTATTAAATGCTGACATTTTTTTTAAAGTTCACTCTTGAATTTGCACTGACTACTGTAATTTTATTTCATCTAAAATTGCGTATTGTAATCTTCTGGATAATCATGTCCTGGTGGAATGTTTTTGCTATCATCGTCCTGGGATTTAAAGAGGAGAGTGTGGCTCTTTACATTACTTGCAATTGCTTTACATTCTTGATAGAAGAAAATGGAATGGAGCATGTGAAAATGAAAATAGAGATCTACCTCTTTGGTTGGCATTACTCGTCGATTTTCTTGGAGGAATTGAATGTAAGTACTCTTTTGGCCGATATCTGCCTGTGAAAGCTGGAATATATGCTCATCAAGGAATAATTCCAAATACTTGACTTGCTCTTTCACATCTTTGACTTGAGCCATTTCTTCTGAAAGACTATTATAGAAGAAGAGCTTGGGATTAAATGGATGGTGTGTTGGCAAGGCAATACCATTTCCTTCTGAAGATAGTAAATGTAAATAGTCAATTTCAAGATCTTTTGGAAATTCACATGAGCTGAAATTGGCATGTTGATTCAAATTATTTCTATTTTCAAGTATTTTTGTAAAATTCAAAGGAATTAAATCAGAGGGGCAATTACTGTAGTAATCATCCAATAGAATAAAGTGAAGTCCAATTAAAACATCATCTGGTGCAAAATCAAAACACTTGTGCTTTGATTCATTCAAGAAATGTTTCGCCTTTTCCATCATCTTTTCAAAATACCACACCTGATCTGGATCTTGGGATAATATTAATAGTGAGTCATTCAATTTTTTTGTAATATCCTTTAAAAATTGAAGATAAAGAGGCAATCCTTTTTCAAAATTAATGGAAGAGCTCAGGAATGGTGAATAAATTATTGATTTAAAGAATGAACCCTCACTCTTCTCAAAAGGAATGCTGTTTGTTACATTTGCATAGGATGTCGTTTTTGAAATTGTTATAATCTTTTTTCGTTTCTGTTCAATAAAACTCAACACTGTTTCGTTTTCTATCAACATTGCTGGATCAAGAATGAATAAAGTTTCTCCCGTTTTCTTGAAAGATGATGCAGCTTGATACATTTCATACTTGTAATATTCAAGAAAAATCATTCCACTCAACAGATAAAATTCAATACACGATTCAGTTTGATGTATCATCATTAAATATTTCACATCTTTCGAATCTAAAATGATATTATTCTTTTTGAAAAAGTGAATCATTCTTCCTCCAAATATTTGACTGCCACCTTCTTGGTTGTAAATAATTAGTTCATGAAATTGAGGAGAAACTGAGGCAACAACATTAATCAACTCGACACTATCTATAAATTCAAATATACTACACAACACATTCTCAACCTCACATAAAATTTGAAATGGATTCGTCTTCTTTTTCGATTTGAAAAACGAAAAGAAATTAAATAATTTCGTTCGTTTTTTCCATGGCCTCATACTTCTGCGCCTTCCCTTCACGTTATTTACCAACATGGAAGGCAAACTAGTAGAAATAAATCGTTCCAAACAAGCCAATTTAAGTGCCTCATTATTATTTCCATATCCATAACTTCCAACACCAACAATCATTCCATCAAAATTAAAAGCCACCTTTCCACAATTAAAATCCACAACTATTGATCGTCTACACAACTCCAAATTATCAATCATTGCATTGCCATCCTCATCATAACTATAATTCACAAATTGATTAAGTGGATCAAATCTCAAGTCATCATCAGAATCTGATACTTTACATCGATTCGGAACAAACCAACCATTAATTTCCTCCTCACCAATCCAAACAATAAACATTCTCCTAATTTTCAATGCATATTTCCCTTTCAATAGCAAATGATTGGAGAGAGAAATTCTCTCCGATCTGTAACCATAGTGATAGACAGTCAATTCATTATTAATTTGCTCGATGGATGATTTTTGAGAATTAATTTGATGAATATTGTTATCATCATTGGTCAATCCAAGGATAATGGCAAGGACCTCGATTATGCTCTCCCTGGAAATTGTATTGAGTGCTGTGGATCCGTAATCAAAGCTTCCACCACGACAAGGCATTTTTTTTTAGTAAAGTTCTGTTTACAATAAAATTAGTATCTTTAATATTTAATATAGCCTTTTTGTAAACTTTACAATAAAGATTATTGATTGTTATTGGATGCACTTTTCAAATTGCAACTAGAATTATTTACAAGTTCCAAGTTCATTTGGTCAACTAAAGAAAATACCAAAAAAAAATGCAAACACTTCTCTTAGATCAATCATTTCAATCCAATTTACTCTCCACTAAAATCAGAGACATTCCTCACCATTTAAAATACCAAACAATCATAGCTCCGATCGTCTCCGGAGGTTCCGAACATTTAAAGGAAACCATTAAATTTCTCGATACAAGACGAGATTGGTTTACAATTCTCAAATTTATGAATGAACACAATTCGGGTCATAATCCATTCAGCAATGTTTCCATCAGTTCATTGGGATTTAAATATTCACTAAGTAGCCGCCATGAATTATTTGAAATTTACATCAATTTGGGAAAGGAATTGAAATTTGATTCAAATTTTATATTTCAAATAGTTGGAATTAGTCCTGGATTTATTTATAATAATTCTAATGAAGTTATTAGAAATGATAGAGAAGTTGTGTTGAGATCTGTTAAGGGAGTTGGTTCTATGCTTAGTATTGCTTCTGATAGATTGAAAGATGACAGAGAAATAGTTATGGCAGCTGTCAAGCAAGATGGTGGAAGTTTAAGATATGCAAATGATAGATTTAAGAGTGATAGAGAACTTGTCCTGTCAGCAGTCAAATCAAGTGGTCATGCTCTTCAATCCGTTCATGAATCATTAAGGAATGATAGGGAAATTGTAGAGTTGGCAATTTCACATTGTTGGTCATTTCTAGGGAGTGCAGGCGAGGAAATGAAAAACGACAGAGAAATTGTAATGAAGGCCGTAATGAGAAATGAACAAGGAAGTGCCTTTCAATATGCTAGCAGAGAATTGAAACTAGATAAGAAGTTTGTTTTGGAGGTTGTCAGAAAAAGTAAGGGATTTGCACTTGAATATGCTCTTGAAGAATTAATTAAGGATAGGGAATTTCTTGTTGAAATATTGGAAATTCCTGAAAGATCTTCCACGGCTATATATTCTATAGCGAGATTTATTAAGGATGATAGAGATTTGATATTACTAACTGCTAAATATGATGGATTTATAATCAAATATATTAATGAGGAGTTTAAGAAGGATAAGGAGATTGTATTTGAAGCTGTCAGTCAAAATATCAATGTTTTTCAACATATTGACAAGTCATTAAGGGATGACAAGGAATTTGTGTTGAGATTGGCAAGGAAAAATTCAAAGATTATTCAATTTTTGACCAAATCAATGAAGAAAGATCATGAATTTATGTCTCAAATCAATAAATTGAAATAGATTGATTAGTAAACTTGGTCAAAACAGATACAAGAGGAATCGAACCTCTGACCTGCAGATTTGGAGTCTACTGCTCTCCCTGCTGAGCTACACATCTGTTAATTTGAAATTTAAAATATTTGAGTGTATGACAAAACTGGAAATCCATAGTAAATTTCAAAGTGCATCAAATTTTATTGTGTGACAGAACACAGTAGGGTGTTCTATCGAATATTTGTAAATAAATTAAGTTTCTTAGGTTTCCATTAGGTGGTTAGAAGAGTAATATCTTTAAATATTTGCTGAAATACTACCATGATTGATTTCTTCAAAGGTGATACCTTCATTCTTCAAATATTCCAAAACGGCTGGCTTAATCTTTGGTCCCTTTTCATCAGAGTGATTACCTGCACCATAAATAATGGTCAACTTTGGTTGTTTTTCACCTCTCAATTTTTCAATTCTCTTCTTCAAAAAGTCCATAGCATTGTCAACATATTGACCATGCAAATCAATTTCCAAATCACCCTTATCCTTATTCAAATGTTCAAACATTGTGTTGGCAGATTCTTGTTGATACTTCTTCATCAATTCTTGATGTTGTTTTCCTTCTTCAGACAATTGCTTAGAGAGACCACCATCACCACTTTCGTAGGCCTTCTTGGCTCTTTCGAAACAATCGGACATCAATTTAGATTCTTCGGAAATCTTCTTTTCCAATTCCTTGAACATTTTCATAGCATCGGTATCATGTTCAACAAATTGATTTTCCTTGGCATCGAATTCCCAACCGTACTTCTTCAATTCGGCCATAATACGATCATAACAGGCCTTTGGATTGGCTGATTGTTCAATGGTAATATGCTTGGAATCATCATCAGAGTCTTTAACATTAATTCTTGATGAAGTTTCCTCTTGTAATTGCTTGATGGTTGAACCCTTTGGACCAATAATAAACTTGGCAATAACAGCAGGCTTGAGAACGAATGAATTAGTAGCTTCATCAAAGTTAGAGGCAGCAACAGATGGAGTAGTGGTAGTAGCCTTTGGTGGTTCGGCCACAGCCTTCTTCTCCTCAACTACAACATCAGTAGTCTTGATTGGTTCGGCTGGTTTGGTTACTTCTGGCTTTTTAGTTGGTTCTTCAACAATGGCAGGTTGTTCGGAAGCCTTAGTTGTAGTAGTGGCAGCAGCAGTTGTTGATGTACTTGTGGAAGTAGTGGCAGCAGTTGTTGTTGCTGGTTCCTTCTTGGTTTCTTCCAATCTCTTGTTATTATTCTTCGACTTGTTGTTGGTGGAGGATGAAGATTCCTTTTGTCCTGAAAAACAATTGCCCATTTCTTCTTATTAATGTTTTGAGTTTTGAGTTTTTTTTCAAACAAATTTTGAATGGATTTTTTTTAAAGTCGCGATCTTGATCCCAAATTGTCTTGTGCCAAACTCAAAGAATAATTTGGATGACACATGTCAACTTGAATTAGCTAGAAAAAAAACGATAATTGATAAATTGATAATAGGAGCAGTAAGACGGCCAATAACAGATGATGCTATCAAAAGTTTTCGACTCAACGGATAGGATGACAATGGGCAATCCTCATTGTAAAAAAACTTCAAGTATTCGTTGATGATGATGATATTTATTCTCATCACAACATCTGGGCTGTAAAATTATTTACTTGTGTGGAAATTAATTGACGAGCAAAATTTGTTGGAAAGAATTAGATTAATGGTTCAACTCATTTCGGAGATTCATCAATTTATTATTTTCTAATTATTTACTTAGTGGTTCATGAAATTTTAAATTGTAGTCACGAGATGGAAACATTTGGAAAGGCAATTGCAAACAACAAGTACTGCATTGTTGGATCCACATGGTTATATATGGCCATTAAATAAGTCTCTCTTGTTCTTAATTTCCTCATCACCATATATATGTTTCATTGAATCCAAAGTCTTTTTATCTCAGTACATCCAACTGCACATCAATCTTCAAAAAAACAAAGATCCCATTTAGCCACAATCTCTGAGTGCCAAGTGTCATCTCCATATAGAGATGTTAACAACCGGAAAAGCTCAAAAACCGTATCTGGCCAATTTTATGTTTTTACTTTTAGATATAAGTTGCGCACGCAAAAGTGTTTTTGCCTTAATACCTTTGGCGCCAAGTCAGCACTGCACTTTTTTATGGAGAGTTTTTGCAAGCGTAAATTTATATATTATACTTTCAGAAAAAAAACCTGAACCACCGACGAGGAGGAAAATAGCCAACAACATAAGCCTCTCATTATTATATTATTATTATAATTATTATTACTTTGAAGTCTACATTTTATACTTTGGTATTTCAAATTTGATAGTTTAAAAATGGCGCCAACAGCATCTGTGATTGGTGGAAGCAGTGCCATCATGTCTGAGTCAAATTCAACCTCGGATAGTGGAAATAACTCAGATATGTCCAATACAATAGTACAACTGAAAAATAGGATTAGAGATGAGAGTTTTCACTTTTTATTTTCAATGCAGAGAAATGAACGAATTAAGGGTAACAAGACATTCTCTTTCCTTTTGATATTTTATATTATATTCTTTTGGAGTTATATTTGGGCACCAGTGTTGAGCCCAACAGATTTTAATTTTGGATTGTGGGGATCATGGATATTGACTGTGATTAATTATCCAACAACATATTCGCTGGATTTGATACCCTATGTTGGAGTGATAGTTTTGTCAGCATTTAGTATGCTCTTAATAGTATCTTATTTTGTTATTTTTATAGTTAGTATTAGGGCTGTTAAGACCTCATCACAGTACGTGAAAAAGATTAAGAAATTCCTTAATTACTCATCGATGGCCATGCTATTGTTGGCCATTCCGATGGCTTTCATACTAACGAGTTTTGTGGATTGCGACCATGGCTATGGGCGGTCAAACTTACTAAGAGAAACAATCACGCTCTCTACTAATACTAACTCTCACTATGAAAACTTTCTATATCAGAATGGTGTAAAGAGTTCCAATTCTTCTATCAATCTAAATTCCTCACCTTCATCAACATTAACACTCAATAGATTTCCAGCTGAATCCATTGTGTGTTACACTCTTGGAAATACCATACTTGTAGCAGTGACACTTACTTTCTATTTGATTTTAATATTCTTGACCGTCCTTTCTTCCACACTGATACCGAACTCTCATCCACTTAGCTATGCTCCAATGATTGTTGACAATCCTATCTTTCTTCCATTATTTTTCGTTCTTCATTTGTTTGGTATTTTGATTCACTTTCTCATTCCACCTCATTTTTCCTTTATTAGATCAATAGTGCATGTGCTATTTTCATTGGTGGGAATATGGTTTGTAAAGAGTAAGGTACCAATGATGAGGCGATTCGAGAATTCCATTGTTTCAGCTGTAGCCTTTGGTAAATTGGGATCTTCTATTGGAGGAATTGTTTGTTCTTTAGCCAATAATTTACACGGTAATGAGTTAGGTGTTGGTCTTACTGGAATGACTATTGTACTAGTTTTAGTATTTGCCTTGATTGGATATGTTACAATGGAGATTTATACGAGATATGTTATCAAGACGATAAAATCAAGATATTTAACTTTATTGGGAGAGGGTAGCTTGGAGAGAGAAGCTGGTGGCATTTTCCAACAATTGGAAGAACAAGAGAATGTTGAATTATTGGATTTGTATGGAAAGTTTGTAATGATGAGTAATGCTAAATCATTCAGACTTTACAGAAAGGAAATTGTAACCAGTACAGATTTACAAGAGCTCATTGGATTTATCAGAGGCATTTCAACACAAAAAACTGTACAACATGTGAATTTGTTGCTGACATCAGCAAGTTTGGTTGCTTATTTCATTCCAGACGAATCAAACTCGACTGTTTTTGCCAATGCCCTAATCAAGAGAGCCGTAAAGCAACATCCAAGTACCTATTTCAAATACAAGATTGGCCAGAAAGCAAAGGAAGTTGAAGTTTATGCTTCGGAACAACTTCGAGGTGCAAAGAATATGATTGAACTTAAATCAATTTTGAGAAATATTGAAAAACAAACTACAGAGCTTACCTCTCTTCATAGACACTACTTTAAAGAACTAATGCAAGGTATGTTATTGGTATATTTAATAATTACTAAATTACTTCTTAAAGAAATGATAAATTACAAAAAGGTAGAACAAATTCTTCATAGAGCAGCCGTTTTAACAGGGAGCTTGGATAGTATCTTTGATAATATTTTAAGATTATATTATAATGACAAAACTGTTTTAAGAACATATGCTTCATATATGGAGTCTTTTAAATTCAATAGAGAAATAGCTCAAGAATATTATGGTGAAGCAATGATGCTGGAAGATGAAGAGTCTCAGGCAGTTAGAAAGCCACCAACCTATATCACAGCTTTGAAAAAGAGATCTAATACTGTAACTTCATTATCAGAATCAATTGTTGATACTGATAATTCGAGAAGAAAGATGTTAAACTCGGTAGCTTTCAATAACATTGTAAACGAGCTCAGCGAACCATCTGTGGCTAGTATTGAAAACTTTGAGGGTATAGAAAATCAAAACGAAGCTAAAAGAGAGCTGGTTTACAGAACAGCATTAGAAAGTCACGGTTCTAGAGCCATGCCATTGATATTTTTCAGTGTGTTTATCCTTTTTTCGCTTGCTTTGATAGCTGTCGGTTTGGGTGTTGGTTATTCTTTCAGTTTAGCTGTCACTGAAAATGTGGTAAATGTTATTGATGCATGTTCTCCAATAGCTTCCCTTACCAATCTTATTATTACCTTGAGAGGATTCCAGGCAACTCAAAATTTGTTGGATATGGGTGTTACTTTGCAACCAACATTAACCAATAGAATTTATTCTGATATGACAAATACCAAATCTACTGTTAAAACTTTGGCTCAACTCTTGACAAATTTACAACAAAAAGCATATGACGCCAAGTTAACAGAATTGGTTTATTCTAGATATCATGAATATTATTATACTATTCTAATACCTTTGGCTTCAAATAGGTCAAGTATCTCAGAAAAGTTTTATTTCGCTACTACAGAACAGAATGTTACCATAACAGATATTAACAATGTTCTGCTCAAAATTACTACTCAATTATTGACAGCATCGAAAGAGGATTTGATGAAAACAGTGTCCAGTTATGAGTACATGTATCTCTACAGAAATCAAGAAAAAATCACAAGAGCTTATTCTGATTTTTGTAAAATATTCATGATTTCAGCCAAAGATGATGCAGTAACAATTAACACAATATTTACATATTACATTTCCTTTTCATTGAGTGTATATATAGTCTTTGGATTTATTTTCTTAATAATTCAATATAGATATTTATCTGGTGTTAAGAAACAAATCAAACTAATGCAAGAAAATGTATCCAAGAATGAAATTGGTAAATTATTCCATGATTTGGGAAAGAAAGTAAGCGATGATACTCATTTGAGGGCTTCCAGGAATGCTTTATTGACACCAAAAAACTTGTTTTCTTTGTTTGGATTTTTAACCATTGTAATTGTTTCAATTTGTTGTGGTATTTACTTGAGTGAAACTTTAGGAAATTCTACATACAGTTTTGAATCATACGTTACCATGGAAGATGGTTTTGATGCCATGTCATACTTACAGCATACCACATTTGCAATTTCAGAGGTATTTATTCATGCTGTGAATGCAAAGTTCAATGTCAGTGAGAGCAGTTATGCTCTTCTTGGGAATAGTGATATTGAACTAATGGCCACTGGATTTACAACTACTGTGAAATCATTGAGATACTATTGGAATTTATGTATGTATGGATCGGCTGTAAAGGCCTATGAAACCCTTGTTGTGGGAATGTTTACTGAAACAGATGACATGATAAGAGGAGAGGTTAATTGTGATATCGAGGCTTCTTTAAAGACTTTTGAAAAAATCAAATCCTCTGGAAATTCTACAACTTATTGTAAAATGGGTGTTGACTACATGGTACAAGATATTATTCTAAAATGTTCTAATTTGAAAGAGGATATCAAGACCTTACCGCAACTGAGCAATTTCAAATCTACTAGCTTGAATTTTTTCAATGAGTTTTATAGTATTGCCTATCTTACCAATGCAGTGTCTATGAAATTGATAGATTTCTCAAATGTTTTTGCTGTTAAATCCGCCACTCCAAGAACAGAACAAATGATTTCTTTAGCGATTATTGCCTTGATTTTGAGTTCCACCTTTTTCGGTATAATGTACTATTCTATTGATACCTATTGGAAAGATTCTCATATTGCAAGATCATTATTTAACTATCTTTCAATTGATACATTGGAATCCAATGAAATAATTAAGAATTACGTTCTCTATCACACCACAAATGATGGTATTAAGAGAAAGAAGAAGAGCACTGAAGAATCCAAAGTGAATGCCATTTTGAATGCTGCAGTTGATGGAGTTGTTGTTTGTGATGCTCAATTCTGGGTAAAGAGTTTCAACCCAGCTGCTTCCAGAATGTTTGGAGCTCAACAAGAAGAGTTTGTGAATAAGCCAATCTATTGTTTGATGACTCCTTGGTTCCATGACGATGTTCGTAAATTCCTGAATGCTTCCAAGAACAATACTAGTCTCAATGACGCCAAATCAGCATCATTTGAAGTGGATTGTGTCAGAACAAATCTTTCAACATTCTCAGCAAGAATTAACCTTTTCATTACCGTTTTTGATAAGAAACCAATTGTTACATGTTTCATTAAGGATATTACTTCAGAGAAGAAGCACAACTCACTTCTTCAAGAAGAAAGAAAGCACTCTGAAGATCTCTTGCTTAACATTTTACCAAGTGCTGTTGCCACAAAATTGAAAGGAGGAGCCAGCTTGATTGCTGAGAAATTCCCAGATGTAACATGTTTCTTCTCTGATATGGTTGGATTTACGGCATTATCTTCTAAAATGGGTCCTAATGACCTAGTTCAAATGTTGAATACTATTGTTATTGGATTTGATGATTTAATGGATGTTTATCACCTTGAAAAGATTAAAACTATTGGTGATGCCTATTTCTGTGCAGGGTATGTTGTTTATATTAATTAATATATACTAATAATTATTCAGAGGTCTTCATGATTTGAATGCCCAATCTGATCACCCTGAGAGAACTTTGAGATTTGCTATTGATACATTTGGAGTTATTAGAAATTATAACTTGAAATTTAGAAGAAACAATTTGAAGGAACAAATTAACATTAGAATTGGTATTAATACTGGGCCAGTTGTTGCTGGTGTCATTGGACGTAAGAAGTTTGCCTACGATTTGTGGGGTGACTCTATTAATACAGCCTCTAGAATGGAATCAAATTCCAAGCCAGGAAGAATTCAAGTTTCCAGATCTACTTATGAAAGAGTTTTTGATTTAGGACTTGTTTTTGAGGAAAGAAAAATTGAAGTGAAAGGAAAGGGAATGTGTCAAACCTATTTGTTGGATGCTAAGCACCATACATCTGCTATAATTACAGAAGAGGATGTAAAAAACTCTGCTGATAAAGAAACCAAATCTGAGATTGCTGCACACACCGCTCCAATTGATAATCACGAATTGGAGATTGAGTTAGTACCAAAAACACCAAAAGGTGAAGTTGAAAATCAATAAATTATTAGGATTTTATTTCTATTAGAATTAAAATACTAACCAATTGAAGAACAACCACTCTCATCATCGAATTTAACATTTACAATTTCAAAATTGATTAATGATTTTTATTAAATTGTGTCACCTCAAATTGCTTTAGTCTTTTTATGTCCTCTGCATCAAAATGAAATGCTTCGTCTACTTTTCTCTTCT